ATTTGAAAATTATAATAGAATTAGTTTTTCGGTGTCGGAATTGCATGGATTACAGACACTACCATAAAAATATCAATTTATCTAAAAATTTTGTCTAGTTAAAAAATAATAATAATTATTATTTTTTACCTAAAATGGTCATTTGGTGCCGAATTCGTCGCGTTGGCCCGCCGTTACTAACGTGGCGCTGACGCGGCTGACAGATCATCGCCGTTATAATCCAGAGGAAGTTCACTAATCGAGTTTGTGACAACATAAGCCTGTTCTTAATCAACACTGATTAGTGAATTTCTCCTGAATTGGTATCCCCGAATATAGGATTGTTTATATTCAAACCGGGTAAACAAACCCTTGTCTCATTTACTGCTTTGTATTTCTGTATGCATTCAGTTGGCAGTAGGGTGTTGTAACTGTGATATAACTACGCTTAGAGAGTTACCATTGAATAGGTGTTCGAAGGAGTTTTTGGTGCAACACCTATTCTCCCAACATTTTTTTTTTCTTTAGAAAATGTCTTTGGTAAACAATTTTCTTAGTCCCATATATATGATCCATTTTTATCATTTTTAAAACTTTAAATAGATTATGTCTGAAAATAGTCATACAAGTAAATTTTTTTTTTGCTAAAATGGTCTTCCAATGTGGCATCTACGTGACAATGACATATTTGCTGCGTCAACGCCATGTCAGCAACGGTGGGCCAGTGTGGCGAATCCGATACCGGATGACCATTCACGCAAAAAATTTTTACTTACGAGACTAAAACAATAGTTTACCCTATATTTTAGAGGAGAAAATTTTATACAGTTACGTTAAAATATATGTACATTAGATATATTTTACCTCTATTGTGTGAAAATTCTTGTACTTATAAAATGTTAATAAAAAGGCTAAAAATGCGCGTAGAAAATGAGCGATAGAGAATTCAAACGATTTATGAATGAAGTGACGAAAGGAAAAGGAACACGATTGGCGTGTTTTGCTCTCCGGTTGCTACGATGGAGTTCAGGCAAGCGGAGGAGGTAGTCGATGCACACGGCCTAGGTTGTTCAAGAATACATCTAATTATATGCTGGCTTATTATTTCGCTACTTTCAAAAGGCGAATTATTGAACTAAGAATAAAATTTTATGATGCCATTATCGGTACCATAGGGGTTTAATAAAATATTTTAGCGCGGATTAAGGCGCTAATACAAATTTGCTTTTTTAGTTGTTGGGTTCCGAATTCCGCTGCTATAACAATTGTCCCCACCAAATGGCAGCGGATTAAAGCCGCGACAATCATCGCGCCATTTTTTAAAATTGTCACAGTTCTGGTACGATTTTTTCCATGCCAATCTCATTTTCTTTTTTTTTTTCCTAGTAGCGTTCGTTAAATTTTTATTTTTTTTTTAAAAAAGTATCAAATTGAATATTTATATATATATATATATAATTATTTTTATATTATATTAAAAATTAATTTTAAATTCAAAATATTATATTAAATAACTATTTGAATTAAAAAAAATTACCTATTCCCAGTTCTAAATCCAATTCTCTGATTGGACAACAAACAGTTGAAGGTTACAAAATAATCTAAACTGAGTTGTTAACTGTGTGTTTAGTCAAGGGTTTGTTTGGTTGTAATGGTTTTAGGTTTTCACTATTAAAAAAACATTTCATTAAGAAAATATCAAATTAAATATATATATATTTATATAATTATAATACATTTTAATTTTATTTTATACTCAAAATATTATACTAATACATATTTATATTCTATTAAACAATTCTTTTATTTTTAAAAAATACTCCATCCGTCCCATAACTACGTATCCGTTTACTTTTTGCACGGAGTTTTAGAAATATTAGTTTTATATTGGAATGTAGCAAGAATAAGTTAGAAATGACTAAAATAACCTTATTAGTATTTTGTAGTATAAAGGTAATGACATTTGTGTAATATATTGTAAGTTGTAAAGGTATTTGTAATGTTAGGTAGATAGTACAGTTACTAAAAAAAATGAATATTTGTTATGATACGTACTAAAATAAAAAAAAAAGAATATTTTATTATGAGACAGAGGGAGTATTACTATTTAAAACTCAAATCCAGATTCCAACAAACAAATTAACCCACCATGGTGACTTTTTTAGGTAAATTATATAATACCTTTTATGTTTTAATAACAATATACAAAATACCTTATATGTTATTTATTGCGTAAAACCAGTGTAAAATTAAAATATGTACAAAACAATCACTTTGTCCAAAATTGATGTTTTGTGTAAACGCCCATATAATTATGCAAGTTTTATACAAATAAAAATTTTTAAATAATATTTTATTGAATAAAATAAATAACTAAATAATATATCAACATTCATTTATTAGTTTTTTTAGACGAACTGCTATATATAATTTTACGATAACTATAAAATAAAAAATTGATCAATTATTTATTTATTTGTATTATTCAAATAAGACTTCTATTTTAACACTTTTATTTGTATAAAACTTACGTAATTAAATCCGTATTTACAATCAAACATCAGCTTTGGACGAAAATGATATTTTTTATACTTTAGTTCAATATAAAAGAGTTTCATATTATAAATAAAATACAAATTGTTTTATGTATTTTTATTAAACACACGGATTATTATAAATTTACTATTTTTTTTTTTTGAATTTTAAAATTTTGTTTTTGAATATAAAATTTTATAAGAAAAAATAATACTTCCTCCGTCTTATGTTAATGTATATATCATTTTATTTTTATTTTTTGTCTTGCATTAACATATACATTTTATTTTTAATAACTATAAACTCCATTTTTTTAACAGATATTTTTACTTTACCATCATATCATTACTTTTATATTAAAAAGTAAAGACAAAATAGTCTTATACTACTTTTAACTATTAACTGTAATTAAAATGTTATTATTTTTTAAATTCTGTACCAGAATAAATATATATCTTAAACCGAGACGGAAATTTTATATCTTTATATGGATTAATCCTAAAGGCTGAATCATTAAAAATAAAATAAAAATAATTTTAAAGTGAAGAAATGGACATGAAATTTATCCTTGACAATATATGATGACTATGTCTATGACTATGACAATGGTGAAAAGTAATGGACATTTGGTTATTATATATAGGTATTTTAAATTTCTAATTTGTTTGATTCTATAGTCCTAAGAAAAATGTTTCATTAATAAAATAATCATCTAAATATTAAAATGTGTATCCTCTCATAAGACTCGATTATATGTGTTTGTTCGGGAGTTTGTTGAATTTGAATTTTAAATAGTAAAATATTAAATTTGAATGTAATATATAAATAAGTACTGATACGATATTTTCAATGTAAAATTAGATTTATATTATACTTATAAAAGAATAAAAATATGTATTTAATTTAATATTATTAAAGAAAAAAATTCATTAATAATAAAAAATTTGTAAAAAAACCCCAACAAACACAACCTATATATAGGTGTGTTTCCATATGAATATTATTTAAACAAATACAACATATATAAATATAATTATATACAATATATAATATATTTCTATTTACAAAAAATAGTCGACATAAAAAATTTATTCATCCAAAAATATAAAATAAACACACCCAGCTTGTTTACTGGGTTTCAATTTTTTGTTTGGACTTTAAATGATAAATTTTAAATTAAAATAGTTATTTGATATAATATAAATATACTTATATTAATGTGAAAGATGTCAATTTTATACAATTTTGTAGACTATACTTCACAAAATTAATTATTTATCATAGACTTAATTATTCATAATCCATGTGCTATTATTGATATTTTAAATTCACACTATATACTATTTTTGAAATTTATCCTTTGATATATTTTTTAATTTTTTTTTTCAAATTGAAACCAACTTAGACTTGTATATTTCTATTTATTTTCTAAATAAGTAAATAATGAATATTCTATAAAATTAATTTATATTAATCATATTAATATATATTTCATGTATATGCATTATATAAAAACTTATTAGGACATGTTTTAAATTTATTTTAATTAAAAATATTATATTATATAAAAAAATTCATTAAAACACAATTTTATTTTAAAAAGTAAAAAAAAAAAAAAAAAAAACACTTCCAAAGTTCAAAAATAAAATTCATAACCAATCGAAAACAAACCTTTCATTACTAAAACTGGATATTCTTATTTATTATATTAACACTTTTTTTTATTTGAACAAGTCATGTATTCAACGAGTTTGAAATAGAAAATTATTATTATTATTATTATTATTATTATTATTATTACTATTATTATTATTATTATTATTATTATTATTACTTTCCAATAATTCAATTTCAAAGTAAACAATGTCAATATAAAGAAATTAATTTAACAGAATGCTTAGGGTTGTGTTTGTTTGCATCTTTTTAAAATTTTCTATTACTCATTAAAAATTTTCCTAAAAAATATCTTATCAAATACATATTTTTCTATAATTTATATTTTACTAAGAATTAATTTTAGATTTAAAACATCGTATCAATACTTATTTATAATAACTTTAATTCAAAATTTTACTATTTAAAATCTAAACCCCGAAACAAACACACCCCCAAGTTTTGGCTGTTTCTTTGTGATATTATTTTGGTCTAAAAATTTGAATTTTAATTTAAACAGTATTTGATTTATTATTTCACAAGAGAACCCGAATACTAAATAGTAAATAAAACTAAACCTAAAAGAAAACAATCTTACTCTTTTTTCCTCTTTATAAGATAATAATGTATCACAATTTTACTTTATATTTAATATATTACATTTCAAAATATTTTATTTTTTCAGTCAAAATACTTTATTAAATATATTTTATACGGCATCAAATAATTATTTTAATTTAAAATTTTTCCAGTCCTCAAAATATGACCAAAACAACCAAACACAAAGTTGTGATAACTATAAATAAGGGCAATTATCTTCTTATGATGCATTAACATAAACACTAAGACTTCAACCTCTAGTACCAAAAGATAATATTCGAAGCATATATGGCCGCCGTCGCCGCCACCACCGCCGCTGCAAAAGAGGCGCGGCAGAAGCATGCCCAAGAAATGGCTGAAAATGGCGACGAGGTTCCCCAAGGATACGTGTGGAAAGACAAAATTAGATATGGACCTATCGAACTTTCTCCCCCCTTGGCTGAGGAGCTCCCTATCATTGATCTTAGTCGCCTCTTTTCGGCATCATCCGCCATTGATGCTGCCGAGGAGCTCGCCAATCTCCGCTCGGCTCTCCGTATATGGGGTTGTTTTCAGGTTTTTTTTTTGGTCTTTCGAGTAAAAATAAAAAAGATTTTATTATAGCATGTAAGTTCTGATTACATAATATTTTAGAACTTTTGACACAATTTATCAATAGTATTTTGTTTTTTAAAAAATTAATTCCATCAAATACAAGTCTCACTACAAAAGAATAAGTATATTTGTAATATAATTCTGTCCCTAAAATTTAGGTAGCTAACGTAATTTCATCCATAATTCCGTTTGTAATATCATTAGTAACGAAAAAAAGCAGATTTAAGAACAAAAAAACTTAGTTACAAAAATGATATTTTCTTACAGTGTCACGAAATCATTTTTTTTAAAACTTTAGAACTTCAAAAGTTATTGCCTAAGTATTTTCAATTTTTGTATTATATTCAATCTACATTTTTTTTTTTTTTTGTTAGGTGATCAACCACGGTATCGACATTTCCTTACTAGAAAATATGCGCCAACTTAGCCGAGAATTTTTTCATCTCCCTATGGATGAGAAGCTAAAATATGCTCGAGGAGCTGATGGCATTGATGGTTATGGAACTGATCCGAAGCTCCATGTGAACCAACCTCTCGACTGGACAGATAGACTATATCTCACCATCAAACCGGATGATCTTCGAAACCTCCAATATTGGCCCGAAAACCCCATTTCTTTCAGGTAATAATATATGGAAAATCTCTAGTGAAACATGCATGTATAATAAGTATTCTATCCGTCCCGATTTATTTGATATTATTTCTATTTTAAAATATCCTAAAATGTTTGGAACTTTCTTCACTATATACTCAATTTTTATTATTTTTTTCTTTTACCCTTATCAAATATAGTTTTCAGAAAAATCACAAACAAAAAAGAAAAAAATTAGTAAAACACACACAAAAAAAATCTTTTAGAAATTATACTCCCTCATTCCCTAACTCAATGTATTTTTTACTATTTTCATTCGTACTTAAAAGTATCGATTTATATCTATATTTTTTTTTTTGTGCTTACAAAGACAAAAATCTCTATTTCTTAAAAACTTTGTACATATTCAAGGATTATATGCATCATTTGGTTGATACGAGAGTAAACTACATGGTAATATTTCATACATTCATATTAAAATATAAGTATTTTAAATATATTTTATCGTTAATTTAAATTGTGTCGTAGGGACGTATTGAACAAGTACACAGATCTGGTGGTCAAGATCCACGACGAGCTTCTTAAAGCCATGGCGAGGTCATTGAACTTGCCGGAGAATCGGTTTCTAAAGCAATATGGGGAAAACTCAAGTGTGATCGCCAGATTCAATTACTATCCTACTTGCACAAGGCCGGATTTAGTTCTCGGGCTGAAGCCACATTCAGATGGCTCGGCATTGACGTTTCTGCTGCAAGATAATGAGGTTAAAGGCCTACAATTGCTCAAGGATGATAAAAACTGGTTTGATGTTCCTATAATACCCAATGCTTTGGTTGTTAATGCTGGAGATCAACTTGAGGTATATACACGATATAAAATACCCTTTAATTATATATAGCATGGACACGGTTATATTAGTTAACAATCCAATAGAGAAATATGATTAAAAAAATTTAAGTTAATCCGAGATTATATTGAAATAGGGAGGATTAGCAAAGTTTTCATAAATTGAGTGTATTCTTTGGAAGTTTGATTTATGATTTGAATAGTAATTTACATTTGATGTTTTATGAGAGAACACTATCAGAATATTGAGCTAAAATTGTGGTAAAAAAATTTACGATTTTAATCAAATTGGTGACTGTTTATTAAAAAATTAAGAAATTTTTTTCAAAATTTTGTGAAGTTTCGTTAATGACTTTTTCTAAATTGATGACATTTATGTGATAATAAGTTAAAAAATAATATCATGAGACGTTCGTGACTTCATACAACAACAATAAAGAATCTGAAACAAAACTTCAAAAGTACATATTGAATTCATTATAAGAAACTATAAGTAGAATTATAAGGAAAAAAATGGAATACTTATTGTTTTCTTGTATGATAGCGAATTATTTTACTTACGAAAAATCAATAAAAGGCTAACTATGCGACTAATTTGGTGTAGATAATGAGCAATGGAGAATTCAAAAGCATTGTGCACAAAGTGACTACAAACTCGGAAAAGGAGAGGAACACATTAGGTATTTTTTTCTCTCCAGATGCCGCAATGGAGATTGGGCCGGTGGAGGAACTAGTCGATGCCACACGGCCTAAGTTGTTCAAGACTATAACTAATTATGCGCCGACTTATTTTCACTACTTTCAGTTGGGACAACGACCTCTTGATATGTTACGACTTTAATTCTATGTTGATATTATAGGTGTCGTAAGAGTTTCGTGGTTATATTAACAATTACTTATAATGTCGAGCATTGTTATTGATTCAATAAGAACTCGTAATGTCGAGCTTTGTAATGTTCTACTTTGTAATTGTAATAAAGGTCTTGAATAACTTCGATGTTACTTTCAAGATCCTAATTTAGGTTACCATGGGCGTATTTACTTGTATTTTATAAAATATATTTTACTATTCAATCTATCGTTTCAATATTTATTTTTTTTATTCATAAAAAAAAGTTATATTCAAGAACCAATTACACAAACTCTATGGTGTCATTAAGTGTAGTAATGTTTTTTTAACACACAAAAAAAAAATAAAAAAATTATTCAATAGTTACAATTTCTTATAAAAAAAATTTAATATTTTCTATGTCAAAACAACACACCAAATCACTGCTCAAACCAAAAGCTAAAATCAAAATTAAAAAAAAAAAAAAAAATCACCACCTTAAAATACAATGTGTTTGATTCGGATTTCAGATTTTTATGTTTGCTTATTTTCTGTTTTATTTACGGCTCAACCAGACATGAATACAACACCAACATGAAAAGAAACCCTATTTGTTTAGAGGCGTATTGAATTTTATTTTATTTATTTTTGGATTTTGTAGGACTTTTGGTCTTGATTTTTTTTCTTTGAAATGAATGGGTGAGATGACATTTAATTTTGATGTATTTTAGAACATATATAATGTATTTGATAAAAAAATGAATTTTAAATACTTATTAAATCATCTTTAAAATTTATAATTAAATAAAATATAGTACTACTCCGTCCGCCTAAGAGTCCTATTTACTTAGCTGATTTTTAAATATTAATTATTATATAAAAATATATATAAATTAGGGAAACAATGCAAAAATATTTCTATTAGTTTCTTATAATACTATTATAATGACACTTAGTATAAAAATTATACAAATATAATAATGCAAAAACTAAATTGAATCCTTAGAGTCGGACGGATAAAATATTTAATATACATATCATTTTATAGATAATAATATTAAAGTTAAAATATATATCAAGGTTTCCCTTCTTTTTAACCTTCGTCGTTTAAGTGAACAAGAGAGAGAGAGAGCGCTTCGTTTAATTGTGTTTTTATTTCTATTTTTTCGAATCGAATCTACAATGTCATTCTATTTTCCTTAAAAAAAAAATAATTATTTTAAATTCAAACATCAGATACAATCATACATTTTTCACCTAATTTCTTTTTCAACCCAAAACAAAACAAAAAGACATTTAATTTATTTGAGTTTGGATTATAATTTACAATTGAAACAAGAATATCGTTTGAATGTATTAAAACTTATTACGTGTCGATTAACCATGTTGAAAATTATAAATATTGTTCTCTAGCTTATGAAATTGTTTAATTGTGTTTTGGTATTTTTATTTGTATCGAGAATGGCAAAATTTTGAATAGAAATAATTACTATAGTAGTAATATACACGAGTACTTGAAGCGGTATTTTGATAATTTTTTTTAATGTATTAAAAATTGAAAAATAAATATTTAGTATGATATATATTTCTTTAGAGAGAAAATAAATTATCGTCAATAAATGTTGATGTTTAAAAGTACAAACATCACATACATATTTTTCTTAAAACTAAAAAGGATTTTTTTTTTATTGATAAAAATTTACGTTTTGAATTTTTTTAAAAAATTTTATTTTTCAGTTGACTGAAAATATTGTCGATGTTTCGTAGTAAATTGAGTTTGGACATTTTGTTGCGATGACATTTAATTTTAAGATTAAGACAAAAATATATTATGTATAATATTTTAAATAGACAAATATTCTTGGAAAATGAATTTGTGGACTTGGAAATCACATTAAATTTATTATTATTATTATTATTATTATTATTATTATTATTATTATTATTATTTTATTTTTCAATTGACTGTGAATATTTCAATGTTTCGTAGTAAATTGGGTTTGGAAGTTTTTATACAATGACATTTTTAAGATTAAGACATAAATTTATTATTTATAATATTTTAAATAGAAAAATATTCTTAGAAAATGAATTTCTGGACTTTTGGAAATCACATTAATTTAATTTAATTTAAATTTTTTTTTTTTTTTTTAACGCCTCTTAGATTTGTTTTAGTTGAAAAAACAAATGTTTTAGTGATGAAAGGTATTTCATTTATGCAAACCTTGTAGCTAATAGTTTTTGAGTATTTATAATAGGTGTATCGACTCTTTTTTCTTTTTTTTCGATGTACGTATTTTTATATTATGCACGGATAATGGGTGGATAAAGTATATATATATATATATATATATTATATTATAGTTTTGGTAATATTGATCGAGAATCATGTTATTATTGAGCAAACAAATTCAATTAATTTTTCTTAAAAAATAGATAAATTATTTCCCCGGGTCATTCAAGTTTATTAGTACTTTCTTTTTGGTATATTTTCTCAATGGATAAAATATGTATATATTATATATATATTATATGAATGTATATAGTGTGTCAAATTTTTTTTTTTTTGGTTAGTTACTCATTTAGAAGTAACCTATTTTAAAAACTCAATAAAAAATTGCTTATATTCTTCTTTTATATTTTTTTAATAAAATATACTCCCATCGTTCCTGCATGAGAATTTAAATGAATAGAATAAAGTGAAAATTAAGTGATGTAATAAAAAAAATGTACATATATATTTAAGTGATGTGATAGAATAACGTATATTAATTATTTTTTAATTTAAAATTAATATTGCAAATATTTGCAGAATATGTAAGATATACCAAAATATAAAATGTTGCCTGGTACGAAGAGGGAGTACTATTTTCTCTACTTAATAATTAAGTAATGATAAAATTATTTTACTTAAACGATATCACCATATTTTAGATAAAACTCAAACCCAAATTTATCTTATTTGTTGTTTTCAATTTTACATTTATTATTATTATTATTATTATTATTATTATTATTATTATTATTATTTTAGAATTACAACTCATAGCTTGTTTGTTAAACCTTACACTTGCAATGAAAAACATTAGAATATATAAGACAGTACATGTGTGTGAATATTATTATCACTTTTCTGCATATGCATTGCCTTTGCTGAATATTGCAAGTTTCATTCTCTATATTACGTGAATTATCACATGTTTTTTTTTTTTTTTTTAATGGATTTGAATTTATTTTTTTACTATATAACTCTTATGGTTCACAATGAAATAATAATAATAATAACAATAATAATAATAATAATAATAATAATAATAATAATAATAATAATAATAATAATAATAATAATTTCTTGTTTACTATATATCAAATCGAAATACGGCTTGAATCAAAACCTAAATAAAAAACTTAAATAGACACACAAACCGATTGTTTTATAACAATTTGACGTGGCCGTATTTCAATCTACTAACTCAAATAAAATAACTTTCAAATATAATTTTTTTAGAAGAAGATATTTTAATAAATTGTACTACTTAGAAGATGAAGTTTTATAAATAGAAGAATAAATTTTATAAAATAGTTTATATATATATATAAATTTTCAAGGTATAAAACTAATTTGAATTTCTTTTTTAAAATATAAGACTAAATTGCTTGACTTGTGGTTTAAAAAGTTTGCATTATATTACCTTATGGTTTAAAAATTACATGAGACTATCTCGTATTTTAATAAATATTGTGTAAAATTTCCTAAAAATTGTATGAATCCTCTTGTGTTTTCAAATATATTGTATATAATCCCATAAAAAAGAAATTTTGTACAATATTTGAAAAACATAAGGAAGCTTTATGCGATTTTTGAATTATAAAGAAAAATAGTGCATATTTTTCAAATCATAGAGAGAGTTCATGGATTGAACACTAGTAGTAGCCGCAAGAGCCACATCGTGGGTAAAAGTAAAAAAAGCATATTAAGAGTAGAATTTGCGATACAAGTATGGTCAAAAGATGGAAGTGTGCCATGTGTAGGACTCGAAGGAATAATCGTATTAGAAAAGGGACCAAGAGAGACAAATGTGAAAATTATTGAATTGGAGTTAAAAGAGTGGCGAAACTTAAGAAAATAGTCTATGCACTCGAAAAGTGACATAACAAGAAATATAGAGACAATTATAAATGAGATCTACGCATGATGCCGCATGTGATAAACCCCGAACCTAAAAAAGCAACAAAGCCGAGCACAATGCTCTAACTTTGCTCATTGTTGTGACGGATTAATATTAATAATCAAATAATAAACATAAACGTAAAGAAGACACATATTTACATGGTTCACTAATAACGTGTTGACTACGTCCACGAACAGAAACGAAGAACAGATTATTGAGGACGACTACATTACAGATTACAAATTTCACATCTTTTAAGTCTATTCAAATAAACCAAGAGAATATATCAGATGGACTCAGCCCAATATTAGTTTTTAAAGTCCAATATTGTATACCGTCGGGCCGGAGCTACTCTGCGCCCCAAGACCCTAGGCAAAGGGGACTTTCCCTTATCAGCGAGACTTTCATAAAAACTCAGGGGAGTGACAAATTAGATTTAAAACATATCAATACTCGCTTACGAAGTAGCAACAATACAAAGTTAACATGACCGAAAGGATTAAGTGATGAGTAATGACAAAACTGAAGACTTAGAATGCAACTTATCGAATGGAAAAAAATCTTGAAGAATAGAGGAAGTGAAACGTTTTATAATATAAATGGTAGTTTCCTCCTTGTACTTCCCAACAAAACTTTGATATCATATCGGAATATAAAATTAAATTCTCTGATTTCATTAATGAAATAATGTATATATTTGTATTGAGGTGCAAAATTTTAAATTATGATTAAAATTTACATATTTTCTAAATATGACTACCATCAATGCTACAAAGATATACAAGATGTATACAATTACCATATATATATATTAATCTATTTATGGTAATAATTATATAGTAACAAGAATTAATCTAAGTTTAAATTTAATGTACAAACCTAAATAGTTCAATGGTTAAAGGACTTATGGAATTTCACTATGGCTTTTGTGTAGTATATAAATGATTGCATTGTGATATTTTTTGCTCACACAAAACTAAATCCATTTCTTCTCCCATAAAAATTGCTTACTTTACCTTCACAAAAAGATTGTGTTTGGAATGGGTTTCGATAAGATTAGTTTTACTCTCATCTTCTTCGATTGTCTTCTTCTAACAGCGTTCCACTTTAGCGCAAAGGCAAATGACAAACTTCGAGAAGGTACGATATTAAAGATATATCATTGAGTATACCGCGATATATATCTATATGTGTGTTCATTTCTCATCATATAAATGCTCTTGCTCCTTTTAGCCAAAAAAATAAAAAAAAAACCCATAGAAATACGTTGTACTTTGTCTTCGACATCACAAAAAAGGTTACTACTACTATTTATTCTATATGTAAAAGTGCTAAGGAAATATGTTTCTAGACAATATGAATAAATATGTTAGAAACACATTGGAATAGAAAATATATTTTCATTTCATTGCAAGAGCAAGATTTGTGAATTTTTGAAGAATATATATATGTGTGTGTTCATTTCAAGATTGGTATTCATTTTTATAATCATCTTTTGGGAGACAAGGTATTGTTAAATTTGACGATAATGATGGTGCTGTAGGACTTCGTATAAAAGCAGACTATTCATCGTACTCGTATGATTTTAAATCTGAAGATGGACCAAACAATTGGGGCAACCTAAATCCACAATGGAAAAATTGTAAAACCGGAGAAAAACAATCTCCGATTGCTATAAGTCATCGTCATGTATCGTTATCCGTTTTACATGGAGATTTGAAGATCAAATACAAGCCAGCTAAAGCTGTAATTAAAAAGGGAAGCCATCTAGTTGAGGTGAGAATTTTAACCTAATATGTTTTTAGCTGTTGAAACTCGGGTATCTTATATCGTTGTCTTCTTTTGTGTTTTTTTATATTCATTCTTTTATTTTTTTTCTGTAAAAATATTACATTCAATAATTATTTTTCTAACAAAACTTCACATCAATCCACTATTATCACTTACAAAATTTTTAAAACAAAACCCTAAAAGAACACACCCTTAATTTATTGATAGTGTAATATTATACATATGTTATTTTTACATCGATTGCTTTGAATTGTTTGTATATGGTTTTGGGATCATATATTTATAGACATTCTTGGGATGTTTATATTATTTAGAAATGTTGATATCAGATGAAATTTAATTATATGTATATATATGTGTGCATTATTCCATGATTTCAATGTATATACACTTGAACTAATTTGTTTATAGATATTACTAAACTAGCATTAGTGTTTTAAATTGGATTTATTATTATTATTATTTATTTTGAATATATATATATATATATCTATACATATTTACGGCTTTAAATATATTTGAATGTGATGATTGTTAGCTAAAAATATTTTAATACATAATGTAAAAAAATAAAAAACACCTATGAATTTATTATGAAGGCACAGTTTTGTTTGCTGTCAAATAATAAGGGCTGGCCCAAGGCCCAAATATTTTGGGCCCTTTGTTATAAAAAAAGGAAATAATTCAATATTATATAAGACATGCATAAAATTAAAGAATATACTAAATTCAATTATACAACATTTTTCATTCTATTTAAAAAATATATATATAAGATAACTATTTAAAAATATCTTCTTTTAGTTACTTACATAAAAATAATTAAGGGTCACCCATCTCGAACTCAAGAATGGCCTTGCAAATAGCAAAAGAAAACTTGTTTATTTAGTGTTTTGATTTGAATATATATATATATATAAGTTATAGAGTATTGTGATAAAGAATTGTTGAATATTGATTTTTTATGAGACGATAAAATATTATAATATATTAAAAAAAATGGTTGAAAGAATAAAAAGGTTTAGTTTTGTGTTTAGGGTCTAGTATTGTTTTTATGCTAAGATTTTAGCTCATTCGACTTGATTTTTAGGTCTTTACAAGAAATCTCCTTTTTTCGTCGAAATTGTTTTATGTTCTGCTTCAAAAATTTCTTCCAAGTACTTTACTTTATTTTGATGTCTTATATGAAGATTAAATTTGTTTTTACCAGGTCGAATGGAAGGGAGATGCAGGCGGCATCGTAATAAATGGTATCAAGTATAAATTGGTACAATGCCATTGGCATACTCCCTCCGAACATACTGTCAATCGATTTAGGTTTGTATCGATCCACATTCATTCTCTTACATTTTTTTTTTCTTTCATTGTCGACAAAAAACTCTTATCAGTGTCAATTATGCAGAGGTGCTGCAGAGTTGCATGTTGTTCATAAAAATGATGCAGGAGATGCGGCTGTTATCGCCATTTTGTACGCAATAGGACCACCCGATCCTTTTCTCGGATTGGTAAATAATCTTTTACTCGTTATTTCATTCTCAGTTTTTTATTTTTTACTTACTCAATCTTTTTAGAAAGAAACTATGGTTGTGAATTGCATCGTTTATGATAAAAAAAATTCTTCTTTTGTCCCGCATAAGCGTCTGCATTTTTTCATTTTCGTCCCTATCGCATTAATGTATATTTTTTCATTTTTTAGTAATTATAGACCCAATTTTTTCTACAAATACTTATATTTTACCATTACATAATTACTTTTACAAAAAAAATAAAAATAAAATTGTATTTACCCTGCTTTTAACTATCCATTAAAATGAAAATGCTCTCTCTGTCCCATAAAAGACTACAATTTTCTATTTATGTGCATCCCAAAATAAGGGTTTTGTTTCATAATTTAATAATGGTACTATCTACTCTAACATAATAAAATATCCTTATAACTTACAATATATTATTTTTATATTACATAATACTAATACAAACATTTTTGTCTTTTTTTATTACAAACTATTATAATATTAATATTAAATTATTATGTGCAAAAAATAAATGATATTCTTTTTATGAACAGAGGAAGCACTATTATTTTTTAAACTCTAAAAAAAAAAAAAAAAAACACACCTTAGCGTAGGACGGGATGAAGGGAGTATTATGTTTTTTTTACAATACTATTACATCAAAAAATTATTTAAATAAAACTAAAAATAATTCAAATCCAAACACCAACCAAACAATCTTCCTCCAATTTCTTCATTGCAATTTTGTTAGGACAAGTAGACTCTTGGAGATGGTAGATAAATTATTTTATCCATCCTAAATGCATGATTGTCTTGATGAATTAAATCTTGTAATTATCTTTAAACCATAATTAATATAAATTTATATAATTATATATATTCCATCAAATAGGTTTTATAATTCCATCGTTACGGTTCGATAATTTAAAAATTGTGTATATTTTCGACAAATTAGTTACAACATTTCTATCTCTTACAGGTTTTACCACACCTAGCATCGAATGCGAGTGCGCCCGATTTAGGGGTTCTAAATCCATTTTGGATCAACTTAAGAGATAGATTATATTACAGATATATCGGCTCTTTTACAACTCCTCCATGCTCGGAAAATGTCACTTGGACTGTATTTAAATTTGTAAGTTATATATATATATATATATACATATATACACACTATATATTTCTTTTTTTTATTGTCATACAAATGTATTCTTCATTTTCTTTCTTAATAATCAACCATATTTGCTACTTGGTCTTATTTATTTGTTAATGTAAAAGATACTTCTTCCATCCCCTAAAATTATACTCTCTTCGTCCCAAAAGATTTGTCTTGTTTTTCCATTTTCGTCCGTCCCAAAACAATTGTCTTGTTTCCTTATTTAGTAGCTGTGGTCCTAACTTTATAACAAAATTATTCCTACTTTTTCATATTACCCCTAATTATTACTCTATCGTACTCTTTAAAATCCTTCAAAAAGCAATGATATTTTAGTCATTTACATTCTAGTTTATACTCACTTTCAATTAAATACTATTATTTCTTAATTCACTTGCCAACTCTCAATAAGACACTTCTTTTGGGACGGAGGGAGTAAAACTATTCTTCCTTCTTCGTCCCCAAAAGCTAATTGATCTTATTTATTTATTCCTTTTCTTTCATTTTATCTACTTATTTGATCATTTTTATCAACTTTTTAAATAATTTCTTCTATAATAATTTTATTTTACTTTTTAATTATTTTATTTTAATATAAAAAAATTATTATTTCTTATTTTTTGTGTCCAAAATAATTTACATAATTTTTCCGGACGAAAGGATTAAAATACATTATTAGTCATCTATACATATCAAAATTTTGTGTCTAAAAGTATGATAATATATTTTGATGATGGAAATAATAGTATTTATCCTCTTCAATAATATTGGGAATTTCATTTATTTATTTTTTTTAAATGATGATATTAGGTTAAATTTTCTTCAAAACTTGTTTACTTTCGTATAGGTGAGGACAATCTCCCGGCAGCAAATATACGCGCTCCGGACATCTGTTAAGGATGTAAGTATGTATATGGTTCATAGTATCTTATTTACGAACAAAAAAATAAATAAATAAAAAAATCTATATAACTTTAATTGGTACTTTGTCCAATTATTATTTTCGATTTTAACTTTCTTTTCATCTTATTTTGATCTTATGTTTTAATTTTTTGCGATTTAATATTCCCAACTATTTACATGAATGTAACAATGTATTGTCTCATATGGTATTCATGTGATCAATTAGGGCTTAAATAGCAAACAATTGAAAATTCTATAGAAAAAATTACAACGGTAATATATATATATATGTATATATATACAATATGAAATTAATAATTAAGTACACTAGACAATTATGTAATTGTTCCTATTAATTAATTATGACAAAAAAAAATTACTATAAATAAGCATAAGTAGGTGAATAATTTAGGGCATTCACTTGTGTTTTTATTATGTTTTGCATTTTATTTATTTTTTTCACATGAAAATCTGCCGTCGACCACACCAATTCGGATATCTTTTACGGGACTATATTTTTATTTGGTTTTTTTTGGTAAATTAATATGGTTATTTGATGTAGTATTTTTAAAAATTAAGTGTTATTGAATATTAGTATTTTTGAAAATAAATAAAAAAATTGCATAATAATGATCATAACAATAGTAATAATAAAACAAATGAACATGCCCTTAATGACTAGCATATGATTTATTATTATGTTTTATTTATTTTTTTAAAAAATTATAATGCAAATGTAGTTTTAAATAAATTTGAATCGTATCTAACTAAACATTGAATTTTCAAAAATATCCAGGGAAAATTAGGAACTGCGAGGCCAATACAAGCAATGAATGGAAGAACTGTGTATTACATTTTTGACGAACCTCGACCCTCTATTTAATGTAATAATATTCCAAAAATAATAAGCGGCGATTTATGAATTAATAATAACTTTTGTTCGTGTGTTGTGTTAAGTTTGAGAAGCATGTTGTATCAATAAACTTTGTGTAATAAAGAAGACAAAGGGTAGTGTGCCAATCTTTTTTTGTATTTATGCATTATATATGCATATGTGTTTGAATTGTATCATCAAGAACATATAAATAGGTTATGTAACACCCTGGCCCCTCTCGACCGGGCATGTTATATGATTTTAAACTAGTCTCACGGATTAAAACAAGTGATTTATTCGATCAAATAAATGATAACTTCCATTATAATTGATAAATGATACTCCTCCGGTTCGTTATCTTTAGATATATAAAGTATTTGTTAATATTTGCGGAAAGAGTCACACTCATCTTTGTTACTTTTAAATCGCACTTTTACTAAAATTGTATGTCATGTAATTATTATTATTATTATTATTATTATTATTATTATTATTATTATTATTATTATTATTATCAATAACTATTCATCATTCTCTATATCTTCATATTTTATTGTTAATCAATTATTTATTGATTGATTGTTGAAAATTTAATTTATGTAAATTAAATTTGTCTTTCTCAAACCAAAGAAATAAATGAATGAGAGATAAGTGTGTTTCTTTTACTAAATTTCTTCAAATTTTACTATTTAGACTCTACGTTTTTCGAAAAATATATATTTTATTTTTTTCTCACGAAATATCCCATCAAATATTATTTTAATACCAAACTCAAACTAATTTTCTTCAAACGCAACCAAAAGAAAGACACTAATCTAACATTATATAAATCATATATTGGGCTAAGACTTGAGCTTAAAATGTTGGTTTTTGGTTTTAATTATCATTATTCTCACTTTTAAAATTATGTGGATTACATATATAAATATTGACAAAAAAAAAAAAAAAAAGAACAGTTGGTAAAATTCACATGCATGTCTTTTGTTCCTAACTATGTGAATATTTACAACCTATCAGAAAGGGTAATCTATGTTATAAATAATAAATGTATTTTTATATTAATATAGAAAATACTGACATAAATATTATTACATGTGTACATATATACACTACAAAAAAATATCAATTTTGTAACGAGATTTTTTCGTTCTTAAATCCACTTTTTCCGTTACTAATGATATTAGAAACAGAATTAGTAATGGAATTATGTTAGCTATGTTAGGAACGGAATTCCGTTACAAATATACTATTTTTTTGTAGTGATAATTATAACATGTATAACCAATTTACATTTTTTACATGCATAAATACCTAATTAAACACATAAAATTCCTATATTATTATACAAATAACTAAATAAATAAACAAACCAGCCAACAAATGAAACCGGAATCATTTTTCATGGTTTTGTATTGGTTTCAATATTATGAAAACCGTGAACTGTTGGTTTAAGTTCGAATTGGCCGCGCTATTTTATTTATTTATTTGTAATATATATATATATATATATATATATACACACAAAGCTAGTTCATTTTCACCGGATTGACGTTGTCTTCTTTGATTTTTCTTAATTGTTTGAAAACTTACTTCTATAGAGTAGCATTGTGAAAAATAAAAAATGAAAAGGAAGAATCAAAGAATGAGAAAGGAAAACCGAAAATGATGGGAAATAAAAGAAACAAGAGAAAAAAAAAAAATTATAATATTATTAATTTAAAATAAGAAAAATTATTTTTGATATATTTAATATAATAATTTGTTTTTTAAATTTTGAGAATTGGCAAAATTTCCTAGCAGAGATTATGCACAGTGTCATATTGTCAACATTTTTACAAAATAATCAAACAAAATTCATAAATTATTATAGTTAATAGATTATGGAATAGTGAAATGTTTTTAAAGACTTTTTAAAAATACTTTGAGAGTCTTAAAGAATTTTAAAAATCCAAATTAAATACCTAAGGATTTTTTCAGAATTGTAAAAATTTAAATTGCATACATACATTGTACAAACGTTTTTAAAAGAGTGTTAATTTAAATACAGAGACACCATAGAGCCTCGAGCTTTGAAATTTTTATTATAGAAATGGTAGAAATTATTATTACTATTACTATTATTATTATTATTGAATATGAACATGTATCATTTAATATGGTCATGTTCGTCGACATATTTGATGAGTTAGCATAAATATTTGAAGTGAAGATAATGAATACATAAGCAATGTCTATATACTTTCTTCGCTACGTAAAAAATTATGCTTATTTAATTTAGATAGGAATTTTAATATAATGCGCATCTTTTGCCTTTTATGATAAAAAATAGGTAAAAAGGAAAAAAATAAATCTTTTGCTAAAAAGTCAATGAATATGTTTTTTTTACGGCAGATAAATAAGAAAAATGAACGTATTCTTTATGACATGGAAGTATTATTTAATGTTGAAATCAAATATGATATGATTTTTATTAATGCATTACAAAAATTAGATAATAAAATTAAAAAGTATTACTGCGGCTCAGTTATAAATTTTTTCGCCTTTCATTATTTATATATTTTGGCAACACATTAACAACACGTGCGTATATATTTCTTTGTATCAATTGAACAATAATTATAAATGCAAGCTACTTGACAATTGAGTAATACAAACAAGTACATGCCATAAAGGGTGGCATTCAACAAATTGATGAGTGTATGAAAATAGGGGTCCATCAAACCATTAGCATAAGTTGATACGGCGACGATTAGAGTGATGATTGGATCAAATCAGTATAGTTACCACATTAATTTGAAGTAATTAGTATTTTATTAACTAATAAGTAAAATAAATATTTTAATAATACGTTCATAATTTATGATAACTAACAACAAAAAATTTAAACCCTTAAAAAGAAACGTATTTTTTATTCAATATATATGTTAATCCAACCCTTTTATATATATATATATATATTAAAATATCGCGTTCAATACATATTATTTTTTTTGAACATTTACTACTTTCTAAAGTAAACGTATTAAAATACATTACAAACACACCTAAACAAATATTTCGCTATCCTACAATATTGGTGCTCCTAACATGACAAAATTAGGGAATTTCTTTTTGGTTTTGTATTTCGTTTAATTTTATTTAAAATGATTGGTTCTTTTTTATTATTATTATTGGCAACGCATGCTATACAAATATATAGCTCTTTTTGTTATGACGGATTAGGGTTAATGATCGAATAATAAATAAAAAATATAAAGAAACACAGATTTACGTGGTTCAACAACAACGTGTTTGCTACATCCACGGATAGAAACGGAGAACAGATTTAAGACATATCAACATTTTTCATTATAATAAAAATTTATATATGTATAGCAAACTAGTCGAAAATTTTCATAAAGTAGTGGAACAAGTTATTATCATGCGTGCTCGAGGTATGGACCACGCTTATACACACATGTCAAATAGCAATATTTATGAAATGAAATAATTATCTAACATATTATTTTTTCTAGTAAAATTAAAGATTCACTAATATGTATATACATGCAAAGTGATTTGTTTTTTTCTTTTTTAATGCTTGTAAATTTCGATTATACAATTTTTGGGGCTATATATATGTTGGTTATTTGTGTGGATGCTACACAAGAAACAATTTAGATCCCTTAAGAATAACACAAAATCATGGGCTTCAAGAATAATAGCCTCGTTCTTCGTTCGATAAAATTTTTCATCGTATTAATACCATCTTTGTTTATGGTGAACGTTATCACGAGTCTTGAAGTAGGTAAGAGCATCGATAATTTTTCCACTTGCACGTCAATACATATTTATATTTATATGTATACACACATATATATATATATTTCTCCCATCTAATAATTTGCAGTTTATATTAGTTCCTTACATGATATATATTGCTTGTTATAAATCTAGATTTGAATACTTTGCGCGAACTATTAATGTGAGAATTCGAGTTCACCTTGACAAAAGGATCAAATTGCATTTGCTTTGATTTTATGTATGAGAGTATCAATATTTGAGTAGTAAGAAATTATATTGATTATTGAAATGTTTGCAAAAATAAGAAACTTAAACCATGCACAATGAAAAAAAAAAAAAAAAAATTGAATCCTCGATATTAAAACTGATATTTGAGAGGGGAAAAAAGTGTTTGATTTGCATTTTATATTTAAATAATGGTGGTATGTAATGTACTTTGTGAAATGTTTTTATAAAAAATTATGGATCGCATAATAAAAAAATTGAAAAAAAAAAAAAAAAAAACTCGACGAGATTAAAACCCTAACAATTGTAACCATACCAGAGGATGAATTTTCCTACGATGTAAATGCTCCTAATGGACCACAAAATTGGGGTAACCTCAATCCGGATTGGATTCTTTGTGGGACGGGAAGAAGCCAGTCTCCGATTAATATTATCTCCCGGCAAGCCGTGGTTCAGCCTTCTCTTGGAGAGTTGAATCAACATTATAGGCCGGCTCCGGCTGTACTAAAAAATACAGGGCATGATATGGAGGTACTATTTCTTATATTAATTATGGATTACATGGGATTTGTTTACTTGGGTGTGTTCTTTTAACAAAATATATATATATATTTCTAAAAATATTAATATATCATAAGCATTTACTATTTTTATATCACATAAAAAAAAAAAAAAAAAAAAAAAAAAATAATCTCCTTTAAATAATTATCTCATAAAACAAACACACCCCTTTGTATTTTTTTGTTTCAATAGTAATTGAAATGTTATGGTTTATGAGATCATATAGGATATTTTTACATAGAATTAAGACGATGACATAGTTTTTTTTTTAAAAAAATTAAACTTTAGTCTTTGTTGAACACTTGTATCTCTAAGGTTTGGATTTGAATTTTAAGTTTGGGAAGCTTAAAATATTGAATTGAACTAGTATTTAAGATGTAATAGATAGATTTCGATACGATACTTTAAATGGAAAAATATATATATATATATATTTACTTTTTTTATTAGACTAAGTGGAAATTAAAGTTTGATTGGATTATTTTGGAGAAAATATTTGATAAATTGTGTAAGACTAAAAATCCAAATCTAAAAGAACAGAGCCATAGAACTTCATAATTCATTACACATCTCTTATATATCGAAATTTAGTTACTCATTAAATATGTATTCTTAGCAAAAATGAAAGCCTCTCCATCGTTTTGATATGAATTCAACTTCAAATATACTCCATGCTTCTATGTTCTATTGTTCTGCCACACTTGAATATTATTTTATCCAAATTTAATAGGAATTTATTTCGAATTTTGGGGTCTTATAGGTTGAATGGAGTGAATATGCCGGGGGCGTAGTAATAGGTGGAACTTTTTTCCTGTTGGTTCAATGTCATTGGCATATATCTTCCGAACATGCAATCGATGGCGAGAGGTGTGTTTATATCCATTAACTTGGTAGAGATCGATGCAAGGTTTTTTTTTTTTTTTTTTAATTTTTCGCGAATATCATATTTGAATTAAAATAAGTGTTGCATGTAGTTTTTTAAAGAACTTGAGAAATCAAATTGTATTGTGTAAGCGGGAAAAAAAAAAGTTACATGTAAACATATCGATATATAACATATATTGTCTTTATAGGAAACCCTTGGAGTTGCATATAGTTCATAAGAGCTCTGAAGGATATACTGCTGTTGTCGCCTTCCGTTACAACTTAGGAGAGCGCGATCATTTTCTCGAACAGGTGGGTTATTTTGATGCATTGTAATGTTTAAATTTGTTAGGTGTATAACAAAATCTGAGATCTAACAAATCCGACATTACTGATCTAAAATTCTAAAATCGAATATCATAATAGAAATCGAATCCGAGCCCCATCAATCGCCCCCAGGATAAAATGAATTAAACTGAATAACGAATTCCGCAGACTGAATCAGAAGGTAAGAATATTAGAGAGATTTCGCAGAATAATTTTTTAGAAAAAAAATTTAGAGTAGAGAAAGTACGTATGAAAAAATTTTCAAATTATAAAGAAATTAATCGGAGATGGATCTCGTTTTAGTAGAATTGTTGGATACATATTGTAAAATTGGAGAGGAAAATGCAAAATTAGTTGCAACATGTTAATTTGACATATTCTAATCAAATTTTACAAAATCAAAATTAATTTAAAATTGGATTTAAAGTTATTGTGCTTAGCGCACATGGATCATGAGCCCCTACGGCCCAAGGCCCATCTTTGATATATATATATATATATATATTCCAAATCAAAGTCCAAGCTCAAGCATGGGCTCAATTCAATTCATGCCTCAAATTATTTTTATTATTAATTATAGGGTCTATTATAATATATGTATGTGGAATTTGTTCGACAAAATTTTTTTCATCTTCTCCCTCCTCTTCTTTCACCAATACACCCAACAAAATTTACATTATCAAGCCTAGGATAGTCACGTCGAACAAGCTAAAAATAAATATATTTACACTGTTTCTACTATATGATTTTTCTTTTGGGCATGCTAATAAATATTACTATATATTTTTCAATTCAAAGTATCATTTTTAACATTTTGTTTGTCACACTAAAAAATATTATTTTTCTATTTTAGTAAAAATAATCATATACTAATTGTCAATATACCTTAAACTTTTACTTAAATTACAATATATTATATTATTATACACGCAATTACTTTATACATAAAGTCAATCAGCAAAAATATAAAAACTTCTTACACACTTCTGCTAACCAATAAAATATTATTATTTATTAATCTACTACAAAACCTCAAAATGGTACATTCAAGTGGAACAAATGAAGTATCATTTTTATGTGATTAAAGTATCCAAGGCATGGTTACTCGTGTGTTTGATTAGATTTGTTGATTTAATCACTATGCGATAATTAATAAACAAAAACACCCCTTAACTTGTCAAATACTTCCTCCGTCCCATATTTATATATTCATTTGTTTTTTTGCACGAAATTTTAGAAATATTAGTATTGTATTGGGATAAAGTATAAATAAAGGTAAAAAAACTAAATTAACCGTATTAGTATTGTATGATATAAAGGTAATGAAATTTGTGTAATATATTGTAAATTGGATGGTTACAATTACTAAAAATAAAAATGGATACTTTGTCGTGAGACGGACCAAAATGGAAAAATAGATAATTTATTAAGAGACGGGAGGAGTACATTATTTTTATTGAATTTAGAATAACTCAAAAAAGTTAGGCATAAGAACAACTTATTCGATTGATGGCTCTTGATTGATTATATTCATTAATTTCACATTGAAAATAATTAACTATGTTGGATCTCTTTCGTAGTTTATTCCGTATCTACAATTCGCCACTCAAGAAGGAGTTAACGTGGGAGTTGTTAATCCATCCGACATCGGGTTTTCCCATGAGGAATATTATCGATATAATGGTTCGCTCACAACTCCTCCATGCTCCGAAAATGTTACTTGGACAGTATTTACGTCGGTGAGTTCCATTAAATTCATATATATATATATTTATACGATGGATTCTACTTATTTATATATACCCTTTTTTTTTTTTTTTTACTGAGAATAGTTTTCAAACATAAAAATTTCTTTCATCGTTTATGTCGCAGTTTTATTGAAATTTTCTTGCATTCATGTATATATATATGTCATAATCAATTTATTCATCTTTTGCCTTTTCTTCAGGAAAAGACAGTCTCACTTGAGCAAATACAGGCATTGAATGATGCTGCTGGTAATGTAAGTATTTTTCTGTTGAAATATAAAATTCAAATTATTTATTTCAATAGAAATTGTTTTTTATTTATAATCACATATAAATCATCTAAATAAGTTACAAATCTTATTAAATTGTTTTTAATAAAAATACACAAAATATATATATTTTTTTAAATATAGTGAATAAAATTATATTTGTATATGCATTTTTACTACCGGTAAATAATTATAACATAAATAAAATAATTTTAATAAATATTTATAAATGAATTAGTCTCATCTAAATAAGCTATATTATAAATAAAATAATTTTAATAAATATTTTGTAATCGATATACAAATATAAATGAATTAGTCTCATCTAAATAAGCTAAAATGCATATAATTTTATTTCGTAATCTAAAATAATTTTACTCCCTTGTGTTAAGTTAAAATTTGCACAAAGTACCCTCATTGTCCAAAGTTGGTGTTTTGTTATAAATAAAAACTTAAATTAAGCAAATTTTATATAAATAAAAGACGTAAAATATTTTAATAATTTTTTATGATTAAAATAAATAATTTATCAATGATAGATAACAATTTGTCTTCAAAAAACTATAAAACGAAGTATTAATTAATTATTTATTTATTTATTTTATTCAAAAAAAAAATTTAAAATATTTTATCTATTTTATCCGTATAAAACATGCATTATTGGTTTCTTATTTACAATAAAATATCAGTTTTGGATGAAAAAAATAGTGTTTCGTGCAAACTTTATATTAGCACATGAGAGTTTTATACAAGAAATAAAATAAGTGATCAATACATTTTTACTAAAACACAATAGGATGGTAAAACTTCCATTGCAACTAATCAGCTCAAAATAAATAAATAAATAAAATAAAATAAAATAAAATAAACACTAACATGATTTAATTTTTAAAAGAAGAAAAGAAATTAGTAAATTTAATTTCAACATTCAACGATCAATACTAACTCAAATTTTATCGATATATTGTATCAATTCTCATGAAAAAATTTTATGTGACAATATCAGGGAGAAATAGGAAATGCAAGGCCAAATCAACCGATAAATGGAAGAACCATTTACATATATCGACTACACGCTGCACTGAGTGCTATTTGATTGTGGAAATCGTCTATCTTTAACAAGAAGAACCGATTATATATATATATAAGAAGAATAATGTGTAGACATGAAGCACGCCGAGATGTTACTTGGAATGTATGAAGTTGATCTATCCAAGAGTAAGCTTTAAAAATGCGCGTATGCTTATGAAGCAAGAGAAAAATATCACTAAGTATCGCAAATTTGGCTTTGTACGCATGTATTATTATCATTTTTACTTTAAATGTTAATTTGGCCATGTTTGATTACTCTATAGATTTTGTGGTATTTGTTGCAATTCATGAATAGAAACTTAAAATTTTGTAAAGTATCATGCATGTTAGGAAACACTCGAAGTGTTTTGGGACTATAATTCCAAACACACCATAACAACTCGAGCACAATACCAAAGTACAAGGAAATGAAGTCGAGCAATGTATGATATATGCGGATATAAATGGAGCTATTGGGCATGTATATAGATGCATTAATGCTGAGAGATCTTGTCACCAAATCAAGACACGACCATTGGACCAACATTGTAGAGAAGAAAATTTTCGGGGTTTTTGTGTTCTCTCATCATTTTCTCCCATGGAAATGAACTTATAGAGCTTTTGAGGTATCCCAAAAGGCTTATTTCACTGAGGATGCGATGTTTTCTAAATCGATTTAAAATTTCAACAAATAAGGGTTCAAATTCTTAGCTAGAGAGTGTGTCTGTTGATGTTGTTACTGTAATAAAATGACTCGTTTCTTCAATACGATGCATGCTAGGAAAGCTAGGAAATAGGTAATGTGATGCTTATATTTTATTGACATTGAGATCGTTAATAAAATTTCGAGAGGCGTATTACTTGATAAAATATGGATTATAATCCCCCAAACATAGGTTTTTTAACTTAAGTGGACATTTAAGTTTTGTATATTCTTTCCGGATCAAAACTAAGACACTGTATTGAAGTCTCATAACAAAAAATTTTGACAAAAATGATCCTAAAATGTATCATTACACAATCTTCTGTGTGCCACGACGTTACCACGTCAACAATTATGGCGCTTGAGGCTATTTCTGTCAATTTTAATTGTGAGATAAATCTAATTTAAATTCTAATTTTGGATTAAAAGGATCACATACAAGACAAGACCAAAAAAAAGAAAAGGTTTTCCTATATTTAGAGAGGGAATCCCCAATTTTTATGGGCTCTATGCATAAGGCTCAGATTGTCAATGTCCAAGGCCCTAGTTTGTGATGTGATTTAGTGCTAAAAATCTTTAAATTTTTATTCATGCTATGTTAATTGTTATATGTATTTATACAAAATATTCAATATATATATAAAGTATTGACTTGTAGATACAAAATATTACAATTTCGAGTAATTTCATTATATTGATTAATGTATAATATACTAATTCTTGTAATAGAATAAGTTACTTTACTCTCCCCCTTGTTTAACTTTAAGTAATTATTTAATATTTATGTTGTAATATATAATATTAAAAAAATAAAATAATTACTTACGGTACGTATAGTTTATCATAAATATTTTGTAATCGATCAAATCAGACACTAAATATGATTTACCATTTTCTTTCTTAGAAATATTTTTCAATGTTCTTCAATTCTTTGTCGAATCCCCAATATTGTCTTCCAAATTAAAATAATAAATATATTTGAACAATTAAACTAAGGGTGTGTTCTTTGTGTAATTTTTTTACACACGTTATTTTTAAAAAATATATATATTTTATAATATCTACACAATTTTTTATACGTTAGTAAAAAAATATTCTTTCAAACTATTTTACAAAATAAAAACACCTTAAATATTTATAATAATACTAATAATTTTTTTCGTAAATCAATAGGGAGTCAATTGAAAATTAGTTTATTATGATTTTATAAAGTGTTTAATATTTTTATTAAGTTTATTTTATAAATTTCATTTTAATAATTAATTATTTATAATTACATCTTATATAAGAATTTTATTATAATAACCATATACTATAATTTACCATTAATATGTCTATATATATATTTATGGTATAAGTGTTGTAAATTAACAAATTGTAAAAACAAATTAGAGGAATACATAACTGAACATGGAAGTATAAATATCACGAAGATCCTTACTTTGAGAGTACAAAAAATATAAATATAATTTTAATTTTAATTTTTTTTTCAAAAAATATATTTTAGATTATGATTAATATAGAGTTTTTTGATATATTATTTAATTTAGTATTAAAATTTCCCAATTTAGTATTGTAAATTTTAATTTAATTATCATATAATATTTTAAAACACGAAAATGTCATCATATTTCTTTTATAATTTTGGAAAAGACTTATAAATATATATATAACGGACTTAATAAATTTTATACAAATTTAGAAAATTATATGGTTGTGTTTGTTTATAGAAAAAATTTAAAATTATATGTCTTCATTTATTTTATTGGCAAAATATCCTGTATATTTTCAAAAATTGTATTTAACGTACCTTGAGTCCGCCGCATGCCTTTAGACACCGGAGAGGATCAAGTCGAGCGGAATTGTGTAGAATGTGATATCAGGTGCGGCTCAAATACAAAAATATTATTTAGAATATTCATTTTTTTTTCCTATTTTTTTAATTAATAAATGTGAACCATTTGATATTACTAAAATATTTAATCACTTCGCATAAAAGTATTAAAATACTTATTTCAACATATATACATTCCTTGGCCCTTACAACTTAATTATATCTTAGTTTTTATAAATTTACACTCTATGTATCTAATATAAATTATTGTTATTATTTAACAAATGTGCTAATAGTAAATATATTTATTCTTTTTTTTTTAAACTTGGGAATCTGCAGCCGCTACCCGAAAGTGCGCACTGACTAATAGTAAATATATTTATTCTTTGCGAACAAGGGAATATGTTCGTAGGTACGTATTCCAACATCTATAGATCGATGGTCCCTTATTCGTAGGGAATTAATATGCTTTATATTAATGTACTCTATTATTAATAACATTGGAAGTCAATGTATATATAGACATTAAATTATAGAGTTAGATTAGAAAAAGTCGACATTATTTTACGTTGAATATGTACAAAGTTAAGAACCATTCGTTATTGTTTAGAGCAAAGTCTTGGTCGGAATATGGAACAATAGAAAACATTTATTGTTATCTAGAATGGAAAGAAGGCTAGAGCAGAACGGTCTCGTACTATTTTGGGGCACTGAACAAAAATAAAAAATAGGCTTTATAGACTAAAATATATATTTTTTTAATTTTTATTTTAAATCATAAATACGATGTTTGTTTGTTTATGTTTTTATATTAATTTCAATAATAATTTTAGTTTTTAACTCTACTTATTTTAATTGAAAAATCAGTATTTAATTATCAACTATCAACTCCTTGAAAGTATAGTAGAATTAGAATAATTAAAATTTTATAATTGAATAGGATATAAATTTGGGGTGATTTATTACTCGAACAAATTTAATATCATTATATAATTTATATACATTCGCAAGTCTAAGTTTTGTTAAGAAATTATAGAAGACATAATTTCATTATTAGAGTTTTCTAATCTAATTTATAGATCACTAACATTTAGCATTATAATCGAGGGCATGAGCTAAAAAACTAAACCCATAGTGGTGGGCACGGTTCGGTTATTTGCAAATATGCAGGTATTTGATAATCGAACCGAACCGAACAAATACCCGAAACAGAGAACCGTATTCGAACCGAAAATTTCGGTTGGTTAACCGAAAATATTTGTAGTATTTGCAAATAACTCGAACTGAACCGAAATTAAGAAAAAATATATAAAAAAAAATTAAAATTCTAATTAAATAAAAAATATTTGCAAATATTTCAAATATCCGAACCGAAACCGAACCGTATATAATTATTAATATAAATTTAAAATATAATATTATGAATACATAAATATATTCGGTTCGGTTAACCGAACCGAAAAAAATATGAAAAACCGAAACCGAACCGAACCGAACAAATATCAAATATGCAGTATTTGTATTCGAACCGAATTTGCTCGGTTAACCGAAAATTCGGTTCGATTCAGTTCGGTTCGACGATTCGGTTCGATTTTTTTGCCCACCCCTGTACATACATTACCTACGTAGATGCATATATTGAGAAAATTTTAAATTTCATTCTCATTAATTATCACTTTTATCTTGTATATTTTCTAATTATGTTTTAGTAATGTACTTTATAGAGAATCCTAAGGGGAAATTCTTTTTGTTTTTTTTTTTTTGGTAAGGTATAAATTCTAAATACAATCGACAAAAATATATATGAAAGAACAATAATCTATATGTATACATTGTGAATGAAATATTGTGCTAAAAAAATGTGCCGTGGTAGTAATTACAAGTTAATACAAAATTCTTAAGCTTTAGTATATACCTTAATGAAGTATTTAATTTATAGCTTTATTTTAAATGCAAATGGTAATGAATTTTTATATTTCCTTCGTAGTTCATTGTTTTATAGGATTTTTTTACAACTTTTTTTTTTTTTTTCAGTATTCATTCTCTATGCAGCTCGTTAATTAAAGGTGTGTTTGTTTGCGGATTTGATTTGGGGTTTGGATTTTTAAATAGTTGTTTAATGTTAATATAAATAGATCTATTTATAATTACATTAAACAACTATCTAAAAGTTAATTTTATATTCAAAACATAATATTATATGTTAATATTATATTTTGAATAAGAAATTAATTTTTAGTATAATATAAGAAAATATGAAATACTTGTTTAATTTGATATTTTTTAAGAAAAATAAATAAATTGAATAGTAAAAATCTTGTGAGAAATCTCCGAATGAACACTGCCATTAATTTTTTTAAAAAAATATATTATATCAAATTATTATTTAATTAATTGGATACCAAAAAAATGAAAAAAGAAAATTGCAAACTAGACACACCAAATTACTAATTCAATGTCTTAAGGAAAAATAAACCATACATTATAATTATCCCTTCAAGGATGGCTAATAAGGAAGGTTGCAACCTATCTATAATCCTTTTAGTTAAAAAAAACAAATATAAAAAATAAAAATAAGTCTTCTATGTTGACAGCAAGTTTTCATCAAAGTTACATAATTTTTTCGAAAATGAACTGTTTTGCCTATTAGTGGCTCATCTTATTTTTGTAGTCGTGAAAATGTCAAATCAATTTAAAAATTATAATAATAATAATCCATTTTTTTACTTTATACATTATTTCTACTTTTGTAATATAATGTCATTTATAGTATTATAACTTTATTTCCTTAACATATGAACTTTTGCATCTTTCGAATGGATTGGATGAATTGTTATAAAATAAAAATCAAATGATTATATATAACATGTTAACTACACTATGAATAATTAATTGTATTCATTAACTAAATAAATAATAATTTTTGTTAATTTTTGAAACTGTAATATTGGATTTTATTGATAAAATGTTGTATATATTTATAGAAAAATGCAAATCTCCTAGTTTAGTTAATATTCTAATTACATCAAAAATATTACAAATCTTTTATTAATTACAATTAAAACTTCCAACAATAAGGGTTGTGTGTTTTCATATCATCAAAACACAAAAAGATAGGATACATTGTTGGATACAATGTTGAATGTTTCGACACTAAACTACACCCTCATTCTCACAAGAAAGTGTAATTTTGTAATAATAATAATAATAATAATAATAATAATAATAACAGTCACACACTTAAATCATGCAATTGGGAAAGATATGTAAAAATCTTCGAGTAACCTTTTTCTGGGGCTATAAATACTTGTGTTTGTTAATTGCTTTTTGTTCATGTAAACAAAAAAGAACTTATTACCTTAAGGAGGATTAGATATCATGGATTTCGACGACAAGAGTTTTGTTCTTAGTTTGCTCAAATCTCTCATTTTAATGTTGTTTTTGTTTGCTACGGCGAAGGCGGTCACCAATCCTGAAGTAGGTAAGATCATGAAGAATACGCCCCCCCTACACAACAAAACTATTTTTATTTGTTTCTCAACAAATATTTTTTCACGATTTACTTTATTTTATTGCATTCATAAGACGGGTTTTCCATGCTTGCGCAAACTATTGTAGTAAATATACATATACATATATATTTATAGTTTTGTGCATGATCAAATTGTGTTAATATTTGGCAACAATGTATCGATACATGAGTAGCTAGTAAGGAATTAGATTGGTCGCTCGAATATTTGGAAAAAAAAATAATAATAATAAAATTTTTCGAGCTTTTTTGTATGATTAATGATGCACATGTTTTGTAAAAACCCTAATGGTTGGCATTTTATCAGAGGACGAAACTTCGTTTTCCTATGTCATTGGCGCTCCCGACGGGCCACAAAATTGGGGCAACCTTAATCCGAATTGGACACTCTGTAATACAGGAAGAAGGCAGTCTCCTATTAATATTATTTACTTTCAAGCCGTGCCCCGTCCTCTAGGAGATTTGATCCGCCAATACCAAGCAGCTCCGGCCGTACTAAAAAATAGAGGGCGCGATATCGAGGTAATATTTCTTACAATTGCCTAGACATTTATTGTTTAATTCTTGTTTCAAATTGTAAAATTATTTTACAAAAATTAAAAAGTTGTGTTATATTAATTTTTTATTTTAAAAAAAACGAAAAAAAAAAAAACATATATATATAGGCACCATAAAACATAAACTCAAATCTAAACAACAAACGACGAAAAACAACCTATACTTTTAATAAGATCAAATTTAAATCTAAACTGAATATCTAAAATATGTGAAACACAAATTATCACATAACAAATTATAGAAACTAAAATGCACATATATATAATGCACATATATATACTCCAACATTTTGGCACTTACTATGTTCATTATGATGTTAGGAGAAACAACTGAAAACGAGAGATTTGGATTTTGTTCAATCATAAAATTTTATTTCAATTATTTTATTATGCAATCATTGTCATTTTAATTCATACACATTTATTTTTTTTATTATAAAATATCATATCTAAACTATTATTCAAAAAAAAAAATGAACTCAAAGAGAGCATACAATTAATTGTGTAATCTGTTTTAAATTTTTTAGGGGCGCTTCTTTTTTTTTTTTTTAATCGAAACAAAAGTTACATTAAGAAACTAAGATTAAATAGACTCGAAATCGTACAGCCGATCTCCGCAAACAAATAGTACTTCGGACTTCTTACCAAGTTACACATCCCATAAACTTAAACGTTTTATGTTTTGCAATATTTGAAGAGGTTTTTTTATATAAAAATTTAACGAGAAATTGTTAATTTTGTATTTTACGAGTTTTAGGTAGAATGGACCGGAGACGCAGGCGGCATCGTGATAAAAGGAACTTATTATGAGCTGGTTCAATGTCATTGGCATATTCCTGCTGAACATAAAATCAATGGAGTTAGGTTTGTGTTTATTTCTTTTCATTAATTTGCTTGAATTAAAATAGTCAACTAGGTGTATTTGTTTCTATATATGGGATTATTGTAGCCTTAGGTAGGTTTAATTTGCATGAAATATTGACTTTATTTTATTTTTTCAAAAAAAAAATAAAATAATCATAGCTTAATTAATCCTCTTACGACCCTCCAAATTTTAAATGAGGCATAAAATTTCATACTCTAGAACACACAGCTATATTGCATGAGTGTCCATTTACATTAATATTTCTTAGAGTTTTGACAATATTCAATAATAATATTTTTTTCGAAAATATCGCATCAAATTAAATATGTACTTTACTTTACAAAATATCACAATATCAAATACTCAACTTTTTATTATTTTAAATTCTTTTTAGAACTTTAAAACTTCGAAAGCCTGTTACGTACTCGGGGCTTGATACTTTAAATAGATAAATTAATTTATGTATTCAGCTTCATATTGTAAATGATGAAAAATATAATTTTTTTTTTACAGCAATAAATAAAAGCCCGTTATATATTTTGTATCTTGTCTCATTTTAATTGATGCAAATTTGGAACTTGCAATGGATACATATTAATCGAAGTTATTATCGTACAAATAAGAATGCAAAAAAAGAGTTCATAAATAACATCTTATCTTAATTTATAGGAAAAACATGGAATTGCATATCGTTCATGAGAGCCCTCAAGGAAATATTGCTGTTGTCGCCTACCTTTACATCATAGGACCGGCTGATCCTTTTCTCGAACGAGTGAGTGATTTCAATATATTCTGAAATTCGAAAGTTTTATAATATGACATTTAATTGATTCCTTTATGAGAAATTATGATCATATCGTTCTTTTTTTTTTTTTTTTTATCCAAACACACACAAACTCACGCATTCGACAATGATCGAACTCCCAACTCTAGCATATCAAGGGAGGGTTCAATCACTTGAACTACATACCCTCGACTAGTTTGTGTTATTAATCAAAGAATATCGATAGAATAGTCTAGAAGTTGTCGCCGAAATGTTTTTATTTCTTTTTTCGAGGGAGGATGGGCTAGTTTAATTTATTGATGACTTAAGATTTGCTCAATCTTGTGTGTTGTTTTAATTAATGAGTAGATAAATTTCAATTTAATCTTGTGTTAGTTCACTTTCGAACAATAATTTTCAATTTAAATCAACACTAGACAAGTCAAGTCGATCAAGCTACAATTATAAGAAAATTTGCATTGTTTTCATTACTTGAAAAGATTATTTTTATCCTTTCTAATAACTATTATCGAATATTTGCGAATAAAGCTCTAAATTATGCCATAATCTATCAAATTGTTTTATCTTGTTTGATAAGTTTTTATTGAGTTTAAAATTAATATAAATGAGTCGAGTTCATGAACATCTTGTTCGATTGGCAGCTTCCATTCGAATATATTTTTTTTGTTATACGGGCGATAGTTTGACAATGTTTAATTTCTTTCGTAGTTTATTCCATTTCTACCATCCAATCGTCAAGGAGTCAGTGTGGGAGTCGTTGATCCATCCGACATTGGATTTTCGAGTAGGGAATACTATCGATATAATGGTTCGCTCACAGTTCCACCGTGCTCGGAAAATGTTACTTGGACAGTATTCAGGAAGGTGAGTTAATTTTACATGATAATTATTTGATTTAGGTTATTTGAACTAAAGTGATTTCAAATCCAGACACTTTTAACATTTTAAATATTCTTTAATACTACCTCCGTCCAGCTAAATATTTTTTAATACTATCTTCATCCAGCCAAAAAGTATACAATCGTTTTTTCGGATTGATCTTTGAATATTAATTATTATATCAAAACTTAGTACAAATCAAGATAAAATGACAAAAATACATCTATTAATTTCTTATAGTACAAATATAAAGATATTTTTATCGTTAAGTATAATGATACAAAAGTATATGTTTACTCCAGGACGGGAGGAGTACTAAATTATTTCACATACTTTTTAACTTCATATATTACATTTAAATTTTGAAATATTTCCAAAAAAAAAAAGTAATTCAAATTCATTCATTTAAAATCTATAATCAAATCCGAAATCCATCGAAGTCAACCAGGAAAAGCTTACTAATTTCTTTGAAAATTTGCAAATTAAGCAGTGTGCCTATAACAAAATATCACTCTTATCTCATACATTTCGATTATATATACGTCTTATATATTAAAATAATTAAACAAAACCCTATATGTATATACACTACAAATAAATAATATATTTGTAACGGAATTCCGTCCCTAAAGTTCACGTAGCTAACGTAATTACATTTCTAATTCCGTCTCTAATGTCATTAATAACGGAAAAAAGTAGATTTAGAGAAAAAAACATTTTATTACAAAAATGATTTTTTTCTTGTAGTGATATATATAACAAAAGTGATAATTATTAGGCATACATATAAGAATTAATTTTATTATCTCTCTCTTTTGCAGGAAAAAACTGTCTCACCTCAGCAAATTTCAGCATTACAAAATTCTGTGAACAATGTAAGTACTTACCATAGATTTCATAATCTCAAATAAATTATAAAAAAATATAAATATATAATAATAATAACAAGAAGAAGAAGAAGTAGAAGAAAAAATAATATATAGTACTTCAATTTCATTTGAAAATATCATAAAATAAAGACTACAATTTTTATTTATCAAAACTTCTTCAAATAATAATCGATGATTTTTCTTGTTTCGATCCTCATTTGAAATTTTATTTAAACAATTTCAGGGGATTACAGGAAATGCGAGACCGATTCAACCATTGAATGGAAGAACTGTTTACGTTTATCGACCAAACTAGTTCAACTAATAAATTTCCAAATATACCGAAAATAAATAAATACAACATGCTAATTTGTTGTTTGCTAATAGGAATATCGAAATGCTACTTACATTGTATGATGTTAGATCTGTTCGCAAGTAAGCATTAATGTATCGAGTATGCATGTCAGTTTATGCATGCGAAATAGAAGAAATATTACTACATAGTTGCAAAATTATGCGCGTGTTTATTATTGCTATCCTACAACGTTTTAAATTGATTCACTACAAGAAAATAGTATATTTGTAACGGAATTCTGTTATTAAGTTCATGTAGCTAATGTAATTTCATCTCTAATTCCGTCTCTAATATCATTAGTAACGGAAAAAATAAATTTAGTAACGAAAAGACTTCGTAACAAAATTGATAACTTTTTGTAGTGATTATGTAGTTTTACAAAAAGTTCTTTTTTTTTCTCTAGTTGTTTGAAAGTTTAAACGATTTTTTAGTATAACATAAAAAAATAAAAAATAAAAAATAAAAAATAAAAAATAAAAATAAATTGAATAGTGAATATTCTTGAAAAATCCACAAAAGAATACTATATATATTTAAATTTAGTAAAGATATAAGATTGAATTACAATGAATACTTTTCCAATAAATATTTCCATAGCTCGTTTTTATATATATATATACAATTTAAAAGAAAATTTTTAGAAAAAAAAAATAATAATTGAATAGTGTAAAAAAAATTATAACAAGTTTGAATTGACCTTTATCAAAGGCAAAAATAACTTTTTGAACTCTACAAGTATTTTTTTTTTTTTTTTCATAATCACTCTTAAAATAAAATAAGTAGAAAATTTAATTTTAAAATTACTAATTTATCCACGCTAAGGATAGTAATTGGTTTGAGAGGACTCCGTACCCGTACCTAACCGATCCAATTTGTGTAATAATAATAATTATTAAATTGAGACGTTCAAAATATATATATTTTTTTTTTTTTTTTAATTGTCGATTTGAGTATTATACTAAGACTAAAATTAAATAAGAAATTGTATTGATTCTTTAATCCATTTTTACACTATAAATTATTTTTATATTGTTTGAATAGGAATTACTTTTAAATTATGAGTTTTTTATGAATGATATTACCAGTGATAAGTTCATATGTAGCTTTTTTTTTTCTCACTTTTTAATTATTCTATTTTTTTTCTAAATAAAGTGAAGCATCAATGCATTGAAAATATATCCAATCATTATATTACTTCAAAATATTAATATATATATATATATATACGAGTTAATACATCTCAAATAATTTTACAATAATCAATTAAATATTTTAATTTTTAAAATTATGTAGAATATTGTTGTATCTAATGAGGCCTATATTAGGATATGTGATGCATAGATTATAAACCAAACTAAATAAACAAACCAAATGTGTCTTGAGTTCTTTATGTTTTTCACTTGATCACATGTTGTAATTACGACCACGCAAACACTACAAAAAAATAATATATTTGTAACGGAATTCCGTCCCTAAAGTTCATGTAGCTAACGTAATTTCGTTCCTAATTACGTCTCTAATGTCATTAGTAACGGAAAAAGTAGATTTAGAGACAAAAATGTTTTGTTACAAAAATAATTTTTTCTTGTTGTGAAATAATGTGTCCGTTAAACCCTTACTGATTTTTATTTCGCACACTAACAACAAGTCTTCATTATTTTCGAAATAGTTTTAATGTAAGTCTAACAACTTATTTTTCTCAACCATAGTTTTAACGTAATTCTTTTGTGTTCAATTTCATTGATAACCACAACCATATTAACTTTTACCAAATATACTTCTTAGAACAACCACACAAAAAAAAAATAAATAAAATCCAAACAGCGCGCCCTTTTCTTTCGACTATGATCAAGAGGAACCTAACAAATGTTTAAGATCGATGTTTTCACTTTGTCAAAGTCATTAGGCATGGTTTGGCAACTTGAAAATATACTTCAATAATTCGAATTTTAATAGCATTAATTAATTAGCTATATATCTCAAAGCATATATAAATGTATATGATAATGCATTATAAAAGCACACACAATTTGCACAAAATGAAAAGGGCTACAACATTATGAAAGTAAACAATGCTATGATCGATCAACAGATTGTAGGCTTCACCATATATATAATTTCTATAAGCTATAAACGCGTGCGATCGTGCAATTATTCAAATTGATCATATGAAGCGAGTTTGTTAAAGCCATGCTCTTCGACAATATTTATTCTCGTTTCAATTTGCTCAAATTTCTTCTTTTAGTGTCAATTTTATTTCTAGCAAAGGCCATCACCAACCCTGAAGTAGGTAAGATCGTGGTAAATATTTATCCTTTTGTGATAATACTCGTTTTCTCTAAACTTTCAAGCAATGTATTAGGCCTCCATTTTATGTAACTTATTCATAGATTTATGTTAAAATAAGTTCCATAAATCCACAAGAAATTTTCAAGTAATAATATTCATGTTTATAATATTATAATATTTGGTATAAGGATATCCCCGTTCTTTTTATTATTATTTTGAATATTTTAGCTTAATTACGTATCAATCGATTTAGTAAAATAGAAATTTTGACTTTTGCGATTTTAACAGATGATGAAAGACCATTTTCCTATGATGTCGATGCTCCTAATGGACCACCAAATTGGGGCATCCTTAATCCAAATTGGACACTTTGCGAGACTGGTAAAAGTCAATCTCCCGTAAATATATTTACCCGAAGAGTCGTGGTTCAACCTTCCTTTAGATCTGTGAGACGACGGTACAAGCCAGCACCGGCTGTAATAAAAAATAGAGGACATGATATCGAGGTAATGAACCTTAATTTGTTGCCTTTAAAGAAAAATATAAATTCTTTATTGATAGTCGAGCATTTGTGTACTACTTTGCAAGAATGTTGTATCGATCAAATGTTTTACTTAACTAATTAGATAAGAAACTTATATTTACCATGAAGAAAAAAATCCTTGTTTCGTTGTGAACGTATCTTTTCTAGCACAAACTTGAGGGAAGAAGGACTACCATTCATATATATTTTCCAAAATTTGCCTACTTGAAGTTTAGTTTTATTTTATTTTTTTACCATACAATCCTTATAATTTCCCATAAAATATAAACATTTTTTTCTTATAAAACATCGCATTCAAATTATTATTTAAAACAAAACTCAAAACTAAAATACAAAACCAAACCTCAAAGTTAACATACCCTATATATCTTAAAACTAGCTTCTTGTTTGTGTTAGTGTGACATTATACATGCTATATAATTTTGAAACTGTACTGATGTTTCAATTAGTTTTAACTAAGAAATATGAAATAATAACAAAATTAGGATTTTATTTCCTCAATTCGAAAGGAAATAAATTTACATTAACAAAATAATTGTGATATGCTTATGTTATCGACAAGAAAAAGTTCATTCAAAAAAAAAACTTCAAATTATTGCAAATATATCCATGGACAATAGTTATTTTTTATTTTCTAAATTTTATCCCTTAATTTTTATATTCATAAGTTGACAAGAATATATTTTATTAATTAATTGTTTTTTATTAGGTAGAGTTGACAGGAGATGGAGGAGGTATTATAATTAATCGAATTGAATATAAGTTGGTTCAACTTCACTGGCACATTCCTTCTGAGCATACAGTCAATGGAGTTAGGTTTGTATTAATGCATATATATATATATATATATATATAATTAATTTACTTGATTAAATGTTTCATTATTTCCCTATTACAACATAGGGATATTTTCAAAGTAACAATTGTTGCTAGGGATGCATAAAATATCCAAACTTTTGATATATCAAATTTAGGGTAAACTGCTTTTTGGTCCCGTAACTGGACTTCCTTTTCATTTTAATCCCGTAAGTGGAGCCTATTGCAAACTAGTCCCATAAGTGAAAAATTTTCACTGTTTTAGTCCTTCAGCACCGGAGACGCCCGCGTGGCTCGCCGGAGGTGACGTGTCTGCCAGGTCATCGCTGAGGCGGACACGTGGATTTTATTTTTATTTTTTTTAACATTTTTTTTTAAAACTTATTTTTAATTTTATTTGTATTTTTTTATTTTTTTTATTTGGTACAATTAAAAAAAATATTAAAAAAAAAATCCACATGTCCGCCGGGTGTCGCTAACCTGGCGGGACACCTGGCGGACACGTCACCTCCGGAGAGCCACGCGGGCGTCTCTGGCGCCGGAGGACTAAAACAGTGAAAATTTTTCACTTATGGGACTAGTTTGCGACATGCTCCACTTACGGGACTAAAATGATAAAGGGGTCCAGTTACGGGACTAAAAAAACAGTTTACCCTCAAATTTATCATGTCGAAAAATACCGATCCATCTAATATTTTAGATATATTTAGATTTTTTAGTATGGTAAGTTTTTCGTAAAAAAATTTTCGGTATTTCAGAATTTTTATTATGGTATTAGTATGAAATTCTGGTGTATTGAACTTCGATTTATAAAGTTTTCAGTACGATATCAGTATGACAAATACCAAAAATTTTAGCCCAGTACACAAGTATAGTACAAAATTTAAGTATATTGTACGAATCATATCTGGTGGATTTATTTGTGTCTGAAAAATTTGTTTAGTATTTTTTATTTTTTTAGATTAATTTTGTTTCTAGTAGAAAATATATATCGAGTTTGATATTTTGTATAGAATTGTGGTGTTAAAAATAATGTCCTTGGATTATTTCGCCCTATCAATACACGATCCGGCCAAATTTTGTATTATATAGTGTAATGTTTCTCGACTCTATATAAAAAGTTTGATGTGTTTGTTTGAGTATTTTTTTTCTCACACAATTTTATGATCAGATAATAGGAAGTTCAATAAAATGTTATTGATAAAATAACTCATAACTAAATTTTACAATTTTAGCTAAGGAAAAGAAATTTTTGTTGATTCCATATGTCTCTTAAACTTGAGAAATATATAATTCCTCTGAATGGATAAAAGTAATTGTAAATATTAATTACTAAAAAAAAAATGATAGTTATTCTATTTAGATAGAAGTTTAAGAAATTTTATCGGGCGTGTTCTTTTAACAAAAAATATTCACACGTTTTTCCAAAAATATTAATATATCATACACATTCATTATTTTTATATTTTTTACACAATTACTCGTACTTCAAGTATAAAAAAAAATATTCATTTAAATTATCTTACAAAACAAACACACTTTTGATGTTCTTAAAAATTTTGGAAATAACAAGTGTTGGTATTTTAATAATAAAAAATAAATATAAATAAATAAAAAACAACAAATGTTGGTATTTGATTTGATATTGTATTAAAAAAAAAAAAATTGTATATGATGTGATTTAAATATATATATATATTTCGTATCAAAAGTTGTAAAAGTATCTATATAGATTTTTTCATGTATTCATTTCATAGTTAGGAAACTAATTAATATCGGGGTATGGTACAATTTTTGCAGATACGACATGGAGTTGCATCTTGTTCATGTCACTCTTCGAGGCGATATTGCTGTTGTTGGCTTGTTGTACATGTTGGGATCATCAGATCTTTTTCTAAGACGGGTTAGCGATCTCAAATATATATATATATATATATGTATATGTATGTAAATATGAGCGATTTCAACCATTGGATTCAAGTTTTTTACTATACACTTACACAATTTCTAATTAAAAATTGTAGTCCTTTATACGATCGTATAAAGGACTAAAACAATGTATAAGTGTTCACTTAAAAACTCAAAATACATTTTGAGGCATGCATGCCAAATTAAAGTAGGGTTTTGTATACTTTAATTCACAAGTTTTTTAATATATATATATATATACAAATTCTTTATTTATAAAATTAAAATAAAAAATGAAAAAGAAAAATAAAGTAATCAATTATATTAGACAAACGATGACTAAATTTTCATATATGATCATTTTCTTTTAAGTTCATCTATATATACGATGATTATTTCATTGACATTCATTTTTGCAGATTTCGCCGTATCTACAATCAGCAAATGAGAAAGGAGTTAACTTGGGGATCATCAAACCATCGAACATTAAGTTTAGAGGCAAAGAATATTTTCGATACAATGGTTCTCTTACAACTCCCCCGTGTTCCGAAAATGTTATTTGGACAGTGTTGAAAAAGGCAAGTTAATGTCATTGTTCATTTCAAACATGGTTTTATTTCTTCTATTTCTCTTGTTTAATTTTTTTGGTTAAATTATATAACAATAACTTTGATAAATTTGAGCAAGTTTTGTATACATTTATTTTTTCCATTCTTTTTATCATTGTCATATCTCTTGAAAATTAAATGGACAGTTTGTTTAAGGTTCTAAATTGGTCTTGTATTTTTCATTACTATTTTTTTTTCTATTCTAAGTTATGAAATCAACAATTATTTTTTATTTAAAATATTATATAAAAAACTTAATTCAAAACATGAGGCCAAACCCAACATAAAACTTTATTTTTATTCCAAAAAAATATTATTTGTATATACCAATTCCAGTTCCAAACTTCAAACAGAATCTTATATGTATTTTTGGATGTGATTTTGTAGGTTGAGAATTACCAAAAAAAAAATGATTTCAATTAGTTTTTAATATAGGGTGTTTAAAATATGTTACATTTTGAGTGTAAGCATTGATATAATATTTTAAATAAAAACTATTAACAATTAATATCTTTTAATAGAAAATTTATAAGATATATATATATAATACTATTCTAAACTATATCCAACCACACCAGATAAATGTAACTTTTTTTTCAGGTACAAACTGTTTCAATGCAGCAAATAAGAGCAGTAAAGGATGCTGTGGATGATGTAAGTATTTGTTTATTTGGAGTTTAATTTTGTATTTTGATTTTGGATTGTTGTTTCAAATTTCAATAGATCTGGTTTAAATATTATATTTTATTATATAAAACAATATATTTTTATAGAAAATTATATAATGTAATAGACATATGTTTTGTTCTTTTTTTTTTATTATTGTTTTTTGGGAGAGTTCTTCAATAGAAAATAAGGTGAAAATATGTGATATTACCAAGAGTGTATTATTGATAAATCTTGGTAAAAAAAATAGTCAACAACTACTTAATCGTATACTAACCCTACAAATCAAAATATTTCTTTCATAAAATGTGTGCTTTATCTCGTCCTCATTTACATATTGTCGAAAACTTCCCATAGTCATCTATCCTAAAGCTGCTTTAGAGCAATTGCGAAAAACCGTAAACTCAAAAATTGTTGCTAGTGAGCTTCTAAAGGGAGTCGCCACTATAAGAAAAAATCATTTTTTAACAAAACTTTTTTATCTTTAAATCTACTTTTTCCGTTACTAATGACATTAGAGACGAAATTAGGAATGGAATTACGTTAGCTACATGAACTTTAGGGACGGAATTCCGTTACAAATATATTATTTTATTGTAGTACGTCGTGTATCTTAATTTTCTTAACCATTTTTAAAAATTTTCAATTATGCTCGTCTTTGTTGATCTCATCCCTATATGTGCTTTTGCCCTTGTTTTCTCTTAGCATAAAATTCTTCTAAAAGAACACATAAACCAAATAAAATTTAGCACAACAATCTTTACATCACGTGTAGGTATTATTTCTCATACTTAAACATTTCAGGGAGGTGCAGGAAATGCTCGGCCGACTCATCCTTTAAACGGGAGGAGCGTTTACTTTCATCAACGAAAATAGTTCCAAATGTGGCAATTTAATTATGTATCACTATTCTATAAAATTCAATTTTGTGCAGGAAATATTGTGCCAAGTTGGTATCGATTTTAGTATATTAGCACGGTGCATATCAATTAAAGTAATCGGGCAGAAAGTAGCGCCGCTCTACTAAAATTAGCACCAAGGACACGGGGTCTTCTGCGCTAAAATAACTTTTATACACGGCATATTGGAACTTTCGACATAATGGGATGAGGATACACACACATACTACATTCATACATATGTTAAGACAGATATTTTGTTTGATTATATTTTGAAAATATTTTGATGTTTTGGTTGTTTGATGATTTTTTATAAAAAGATATGAATTTTATATGCAAACTATTACATTCAACGACTATTTCGACTATTTCGCCCAAAAAGTAAAATACAAATGCACAAAAGATGCTAAATGATTGTAAGTAATATTATAAATAGCCTATAAATTTTAGCTATAATGTTTTAAAATAATAAATACCCATAATTTTATTATCCATAAATATTTTCATTATCATACCCTAAACAATAATAATATTGACAAAAAAAAATAAAAATCATCATCATCATTCACTGATCTTAATTAATTATCCTTTATAAAATTGTTAACAATATTTACATTTATTAACCATTTCTATGTTAATCATTTTTGCCCCTTTTTCATTTAAAATACCATAATTAGAATCTGACATTAAATAAATTGATAGAAGAAATTACGTTATAGAATAATTATAGGATTATACAAAAAAGTAAGTATAAATTATTGAATAAAGTTTTCAAAATTGCTCCAAAGTATTAATTCAGTCAAAACTAATCAAATTTTCACCCCAAAAAAAATAAAAATTAAAACACTATATGTATAAATAGAGATAGATAAAGATAGCATCTTGTATGTATCTAGCTCTTCTTTTCTTTCGAAGATTTTTTTTTGCATAATCAATCCAATATTGTGTCGATTTTGAGTGGCAAGAATATGCAGAGTTGGTGTCGTCTCCTCGTTGCATACCTCATTGTCTCTTCTTTACTCGTCGATGCTGACAAAGATGACGAGGAAGTTGGTTAGTATATACGTACAAACTTGCTCTTTTATTATTTTGAAGATAGTAAAAATTTAAATTTAAATTTGTTTATAATACTATAGTTTGATTAAGTGTATGATGTGGTATTTTGAATACAAATAAATAAATATATAATACTTTATATAAAAATTAAATTTTTGATTTTAAGTTTTGATAAATGGAATAAGTTACAACGAACTACTTGCTACTTGTTTGAAACAAAAATGTGGTTCGTTCGAAATAGTGGTCGTGTTTTTGAATTTTTGAATTTTAATTTTTATATGAATATTGTTGAAAGATGATGTTTTATAAGAAAAATAATTTATTTTTAGATGGAATAATTAGAGTTACTTAGTAAAAAAATTGGGGGGAAAATAAATAGAAAATAGAACCAATAGTTCACCTTCAATTTTATCTCCAAAAATCCCTATTTTACTCTCCAAATTCTCAATTTGCATTCATGGTATAGTTCTTCTATTTAAGTCTCTAATTCGATATTATTTTATTTAAATATGTTGGGTGCGAAAAGGCGAATATGTTATGAGCCTGAATCAAATTTCATAAAATGTATTCACTTTTTATAGTAAATTTTGAATAATTACTTCTTATTATTACATTTTGGTTGATTCATAACTTTATGTATGACTATGAGTTAAAAAGGAAAAAAAATCTAAATAATTATTTACCATTTATGTATTATTATGACTATAATAAGTTTCTATCAACTAACTAAAATTATGATTGAAAATAATCTCCTATGGTAAATGGTAATTTAAAATTATTGTTAAATAGAAAATAATAATAAAACATATATAAATTTTGTTTGTTGGATTTCTGTTTTTAGTTTGAAGTATTTTTTTTATATTGAATTGTTAATTTTTGTAAATAGATAGAGTATATATATTGTATAAATATATATTATATTTTTTATAGTATTAATTGGAAATATAACAAAAGAATTCCAATGAGAGAATACAAATTTATAAGCTTTATTTACTTTATTTATTGTTTGAATCTTTTTTCTTCTTGTTTTTTTAGTGAAATAGTTACTAGATGTAATATTTTTAATGATAAATCAATAGTAAATTTAAAATTATAATGAAAAAATCGGGTAGAACAATACAAGTAAACAAGTCCCATAATGTAATCTTTTTGTGCATTTCAAGTATATTTTTTGCTCTTAGTTATTTATGGGATAACAAAAATCTTGCTCGATAACAGGCAACGAGAATCCTTTTACATACGTCCGATGTAGTGAGAAAGGTCCAAGTAATTGGGGGAATCTAAAACCAGAATGGCGAGTCTGTCGAACAGGAAAGCTTCAATCCCCGATTAATATTGCCGATAGTAAAGTTGTCGTTGTCCCAGAAATCGGGCAATTGCGAAGAACATACACGCCGGCACGAGCTACAATCAAGAATCGCGGTCATGATATCATGGTACATTATTTATGTCAATTCATTACAGCACATATATATATATATATAATAATTTGGAAGAGTGTTATCTATTACATATTCACAGTAGAGGAGGCAGACGGAAATTTTGTTTAATATATACTTCCTCCGTATTGCTTAATGTGTCCATATTTCCGTCGAAAGGAAAATGATCACATACATTAATCATATTTTAAATTTTCTAATTTATAATTTTTTAATTTTAATTAAACTAATTAATTATCTTAATCTTAATTTATAATTATTTATATTAGTATAAAATAATTATTTTTACTAATATATATTTAATTATTTACTAATTATACTTATCATAAATTTTTGTATCTACAGTAATCCGGATATAATATTTTTAAAGTCATAGAATAGAATTAAATTGAATACATATTATATATTTTACCAACACGACATTATATCCCATTCTAATATTGTAATAAATTATCATTCTATCTACAAGTTCAAAGTAATACTATAATTTATCATGAATCATGTTAAAATAATTGAGATAGAAAAAAATGAAATAATAAATCTAACTTAATTTCATTAGCACAGTAAAATTCAAATCTACGAATTGATGGAAGATATGATGCAAATCCTCTTGAGAAAACCTTAAGTTCATGATAAACTCTTTTTTTAGTGTAGTATGTGATCTTCTTTATCAGCTTAGGATTTTAAATAGACATTGTCTGAATAATTTTTTTTTCACTAAAATGGTCTTCCGGTGCCGGAGTCGCCATGCTGATTTGTCGTTGCTAACATGGCACTGACGCGGTTGGCATGTCATCGCCACGTCAGTGACACATTGAATGACCATTTTAGCAAAAAAAAATTTCCTTACGAAACTATTTTCAGACATGTTTTATTTAAAGTTCTAAAATAATAAAGATATCAAATATGAGATTAATAAACAGTTTACCAAGACATTTTGTTAAAAATATATATATTTATGTATCACTGATGTGGCATCTACCCGGCGATAACATATTTGCCGCATCAGCTTACATTGTGATGACATGTAAGCCGCGTCAGCGCTACATCAGCAATGTGTGGTAAATCCGGCACTAGATGACCATTTAAGCGAAAAAAATTTATTTACAAGATTATTTCAGATATAGTACATTTAAAACTCTAAAATGCTAAAATAGATCAGATATGTGATGATCACTCAAATAATAATTTAATGAATTTAAGTATATAGAAGCGTCGCAGTTACTAAATATATTTTAAACTCAATAAATTTAATTGAACACATTTTAGGCTTAAGTTGAATGGTAGTCCAAATAATATACATTTCGTCCATAATTTTAATTTTTAATCTAATACAAAACCTTCTCATATCATATTAAATGATCATTTTATCTAAAAAATTAAGTTAATATGAATATATTTCATTAATACATATTATATAGTTTACCAATACATATATGTTCTAAATTTCAAGTTTCTGAAACTATATTACTCCATTTTTTATGTAAAATAGTTGTTAGATATAATATTTTGAATGACAATAAACTTTGAATATAATATATTAAATGAAAATTTGATGTTTTCGTATATATACATTTATATTTTTCTTTGAATTGCATAGCATAAAAGACATACTATTCTCAAAATTGTTCTTCGCTTTAATTAAACATTGCAATCGATGGTCAATAGTGTACGTACCTATTAATAGAACAATTGTTTTTACCTTGTAATGTTAGTTGATTCATTTAAGAATTTTAATTACTCTCTTATTTTACCGATTGAATTTCCTCCCCTTCTCCGATCCTTGATTGCTCCCACACTATCAATATGCATGTTGTCGATGATTTCTTAATTAGGTAAAATGGCATGGAGACGCCGGAGGTGTCGTAATAAATGGAACCATGTACGAACTACAACAATGCCACTGGCATTTCCCGACCGAGCATACAATCAATGGAAATAGGTTCGAATTTTTTACTCTCTCTTTTTTCATTGTAGGTTTCTCCAATTTTTTCACTATGCAGCGCTCTTCTTTTTCTTGAAAACATCAAATTAAAAATACTAATATTTTTATATTATATAAAATAATTTATATCCAAAATATCATATCAAGCTCATCATATTATATCAAATCAATATTCTAATTCAAATCTGTACTAGAGATTTATTTTCTATGTTTCTTTTTTTTTTTTTTTTTTTTTTCCTTGGTTGAACTTTTGAAATAGGTACAAAATGGAGACTCACTTGGTTCACAAAAGCTCGGCCGGAAAAGTCGCTGTGATCGGAATTTTGCACAGGCTCGGACCCCCTGATTCCTTCCTCGAAAAGGTCAGACTCATGACGTGCATTGATTCCATGTTGAAGGAAAAGTCGAATATTCATTGATCAAATCGATCATTTTATCCATAGCTCATTAGATCTTTTGAAGAATCGATTAATTGAACAAAACTAAAAGTTAAGAGTCCTATTCCACATCTCAATATCAGCAACAATAAATTTAGAGTAAGAGGAAAATCTGTCGACTCTAAAAACTCGTCCATTGATCTATTTAACCAATTAAAACTTAATATGAGAAATAAATTGCATATCAAAATACAAATTTTAGGGTTAGGGTTAGGGATATATATCTTTTTTCTTATTATACTACCATTTGAGGGTCTAATTTTGTAGGCTTTTGTATTTATTTTTTTGTAATATTTTTTTTTTATCTTTTTCCAGCTTTTACACCATGTAAGAAATGTTAGTGAAGAACCAACTGAAATAGGGATAATCAACCCAAGGGATATCAAATTCGGGCCTCGAAAATATTACAGGTATATCGGATCTCTCACAGTTCCTCCATGCACGGAGGGTGTTATCTGGACAATACTAAATAAGGTGAGTTCATCGATGAAAAGCCTGTCTGAAAAGATTGAAAATTGTCTGAAAACTAAATTTTTTCTGCAGGTGAAGACTGTCTCGATCGAACAGATGAGGGAACTAAGAGATGCTGTTCATGATGTAAGAGCATATCCCATTAACCTGTTAATTCCACAATATATATTATTTTGTATTAGCATATGACTTAGATGAGTTGAAATTCATGTGTTGTATAAACTATTATCATATGCCGTCGACATTAACGTATAATTTTGTCTGAAATCAAATATAATATGTTATATGTATATTATCATGTGCTAATTACCTGTAATCAGCTCCCTATATACGTGTGTTTCTTTGAGTTTAGTTTGAATTTTATATTTAAATAATGTTTGATGGAATAGTTTGTGAGAAAATATATATATATATTTTTTGTTTTTGAAAATAGAGAGTCTAAATAGTATAATTTAGAAAACTTCTGATAAATAAATACACAAAGTTCATGGTTTGATCTGGTTTTTTTTTTTTATTTATTTATCGGACAATTTCATGGTTTGATCTTGTTGCAGGGTTTCGATGACAATGCACGACCAATTCATCAATCTCATGGCAGATCGATCTTCCTATTTCTCCCCCCGGTGCATGACAAACCTTCAAACATGAATTAGAGGTGCGTCGATATGAAGGAACATGCTTATGTTCTTAATTTGAAATAATGGTATGGTAGAAATGCGATCCAATAAAAACATTGAAATAATTATTTATGGAGTTCGATGCAAGGAAATATAAATTTGAAGTTGTGTCTATTTAATCTGTAGCGTCGGCAATATGATATCATGCTTGAATTTTACACAGCAATAGTTCATTCCGAAAATTATTGAGCTTTCTACAAGGTAACTTAGTTCCCCGGATCTATTATTATCTACAAAGTTAAGTGTGATCTTTTTTAAATTTTTAATGACTTGAATTTACAAGATGGTTCAATAGTCGGTTAGTACAGGTTTATTCCGTAGTTTAGAATATGCCTCACCATCGGACCATCACAATATGTGTGACATGATACTCTCAGATTTTTCGTAGTATATACAGGTTGGGGGTTCCGTCTCAACTCTTGTTCGATCAACTCTTGTTCGATCAGTGATGATTTTAAAAATAATAATAATAATAATAATAAGATCAATAGTTTTGCACTGCTCTTGATAATTTATATAGTTTATTGCAACTTATATTTGTTTTGTTCGATAAAATATGTATCGGTTTATTTTTTTGTACGAACGTTACAAGAAATATTAGTATTTTATATATAATGACTAGTGAGTAAGAGTATCAATTAATTAAAATGCCTTCGGAAGTATAATTAGTAGAGCGTTGTATGGTTGTATGTTTAGGATAAATGTAAGGACATTTTATTACTTTAGCCAATGTATGTGGTACTTAATTCAACAAATTAAGTTTGTTTGTTTGGTTGTTGTCAAAATTGATTGGCAAAATTGTTCATAACTTTCTCGTGATTTCTGAACTCAGCGTAAATCTCTCATTTACTTTAAAAATTATATGATGTCGCTTTATACTTTAAAAAATGTTGCATGAAAACACTGTGGTTTCAAAACTTAGCATAAATTTCCACTTTACTTTTAAAAAATTGCATAACGTTCCCTTAATACTTTCAAAAATATATTGCACGAAACTCTCTGCCATGCAAAACATATAGATAGGAAATATCTTTTTATTTGAGTTTGAAATCTTGAAACAACAAACTTCAATGGACCAAAATATCTACAAATAATTTTTCCTTATTTGATCATTAACGACCCTACAATATTAATGAATATGCTAGTATTATTTTACAGCAACGTACCAAAATACAATTTTTCATCAACTATTCCTTTTTATAACATTCAACAATATTATTTTTAAATAAATTAAGCAAATTATTCAAATCCAAACCACCATAACACAAACCCCATTCAATAAACCAAATGAAGAAACAATTGCAAATGAAATAACAGCTGCAGGAAGATTACAATGAAAAAGTACATAAATTCAAGGAAGATTTTGCAAGAAACAAACTCAAGAAATAATACTAACGTTGGTTGTCCTAGGCAACAACAAATGGTAAAACTGTTAACATAAAAGTTTCGTAATTGAAGGTAGCCGATCCGGTGAAAGTCGTATCCTTCTCCTTGAATTTCTCCGTAAGTCCCTAAACAAACGCAGCCATAATCAGCGACATAGTTACACGCGTAAAAAAGGAATTGAATCTAGTCTTGACGATGAAAAACACATCAATGTAGTGTCGAACACAACGTTAATCTATTTTGACTAAAAAATTAAAAAAACAATTTCAATATCTGTCCGAACCATAATATAAATATGTTAAGTAGTTCCTCTGTCCGTTAAACTTATACTTATTTTCTTTTAAATATGTCCACAGCTGTTTCTTTCATACCAATTGTCTCGAGAATTTTGTAGCACATTAAGAAAAAAATGTATTATATTAATGAGTAGTTTGTCTATGATAGAAAAGTCTAAATACTCTCTCGAGTTTGGTGGCTTAAAATTTAAACATTAAGTGTGAGATAATATTTGCGTAAATAAAAGTAACGTTGAAGGTAAATTGACAATCGGATAGAAAAAAATGTAAACTATAAATGGAAATTGGCCATTTAGATTGGCAACTTATATAGAAAGTGAGACAATACATGTGGTATGAATAGGGGTGAGCATTCGGATTTTCGGTTCGGATTTTGCCAAATCCGAAATTTTTGAAAAAATCAATCCGAACCGAATCGAAATTCGAAAATCCGTAATTCGAACTAAAAAATCCGAACCAAACCGAAAAATCCGAAATTCTAAATATTTTTATTATTATTTTTTAAATTTTTAAATTTCTTTTATATTTATTTTATAATATTAAATATATATATAATATATATAAATCAAATATATTAAAATATAATTAATAAATTTGAGTTATTTATAATAAAATATTAAATATGTATAATAAAAATATATTAAAATGTTATATTTCGGATTTCGGATTGGTTCGGATTTTAAGTACACTGATCCGATCCGAAAATTCGAAATTTGTTAAAAATTCAATCCGATCCAATCCGAAAAATCCGAACCAAATTTTAAATTTCGGTTTGGTTCGATTTGGATTTTCGGATTTCAGATATTTTGCTCACCCCTAGGTATGGAGCAGGTATTGATTTTACTTTATTATTTTCTTCGTCTCACTTCAACTAAGTTCTTTGAAATTTTGTAGTATATTAAAAAATAATAATACTTTATTGATTGATAGAAGTGTGTAAGAGATTTTAACATTTTTGTCTTTTGACTTTAAAAATACACTACAAAAAAATAATATATTTGTAACGGAATTCCGTCCCTAAAGTTCACGTAGCTAACGTAATTCCGTTCCTAATTCCGTCTCTAATGTCATTAGTAACGGAAAAAGTAGATTTAGAGACAAAAATATTTTGTTACAAAAATAATTTTTTCTTGTAGTGATAAAGGTATTTTGGTATTAGTGTATGATTATTTTTATTTAAAAAAAATACTTTTAGGTGAGACGAAAAAAATTATAAAAAAAGTATTTTGAATTGGGACGGAAAGAGTTCGTAATAACAATTTTTTTCAATGATCATACAGACACTATCTATTAAACTCATTTCTTGATGAATTTTATTTTCCTATTGAAATATTTTTATTTATTTTTCTCTAATTTTCACGGACGGAAAGAGTATTATTTCTTGAATAATAAGAAATTTGTTTTAACATATGAAATAAACAATTCAACATTATCACAAGCGGATCGAGGATGAGAAAGGAAAATAAAGAACGAGAAAATTAATTTTATTTGTACCTTGACAGTGAGACAGCACCTGAACAAGGTAAAGCCAAGACAACAAATGTATGAGCAAAAGAAATTAAAAATATATGTAAGAATGAGAGTAGAAAAATGAATCGAAATTCGACAACTCACTCAATGAAATTGTCGTATTCGATGGCCTTGCTTACTCCACCATTTTTGTCGAACTTGGAGACGAGCAAATCCAAGACCAGTGGGGAGACAGAAAACCCTAAGCTAAGGAGTGCTTCCCTCAGTTCGACTGTGTCAATCTTCCCACTTCTGTCTTTGTCGAATCTCTCGAATATTGCCTAGATCAACAAAAACCCGATGACTATATATAAAAATTGAAAAATCAAAAAGATCACGGCTATGTTTAGTTTTGAATTCTTTTTTAAATTTATTTGCTATGCAACCTCGCGATTTCTTATTAAATTAAAACAAGCATCACATTCAAGTACTATTAACACAATACACGAATCATATTTTGAGGGAATTGCGGAAAAAAACAAAAAGAAAACAAAAAAATGAGATTGTGTTCTCTTTGCAATATTTGTATAAATTTATTGATATATGGAGTATGTAGAAATAATTTGACAATTATCTTTTATATTTTATATATAAAATAATGTTACGTCGGTAAATTATATTCCCTCCGCTTCAAAGAAAATTATGTAAATTTGGTTTGACTTGAAAACTAAAAAATAATAATATTCTAATGTTAAAGTGAGGCAGATAGAATATAACGTGGGAATCTTAAGTAAAGTTAATTTAGGAGTTATTAGTTAAAAAACATATGAGATAAGTAGAAAATATAGTGGCAAATTAATTATTATTTAATAAAATATGGATAATAAAATTGTGAGTTAGGAATAAGTAGAGTTGTTAAACGAGCCAAACTCAACTCGACTCGTTAACAACTCGACTCAGCTCATTTATGGTGATAAGCGAGCCGAGCTTGAGCTCGAAAATTATTTTTTTATAATTGAACCGAGCTCGAGCTTGGGTCACGAGTAGCTTAATTGAGCTCATTACTAATAATATATTTATATTATTTATATATTAATATAATATATATAATTTTTACTATCAAAATTTATATTTATTATTAAAATTTAAATATTTTATTATAAAAAATTATGAATAAATTAAATATATTTAATTTATATATTAAAAAATATATAGAATATGTATAAAATTCAAACCTAGATTGAATTTGAGCCTAACAAGCCGAGCTCGAGCTACTATTTTGGTTCGAAATCTTAACGAGCCGAGCCGAGCATATACTGTTAAAACGAGCTCGAACAACCAATAATACTCGACAAAATTAAAAGATATTTTAATATTAATATATATATATATATATTTTTGGACACCCAAAAACAACAAAATGTATAGTTTTGAATTACCTACCTTCCATGATTGAAGACAATAAAAGACCTGACTGAATTCCTTAGGACCTGCAGACATTAACACAAACACATTGTGGGCAACAATTAATCAATCTTATATAAACCTAATGTAATGTCATGTAATAATCCAACAAGAAGACATATAATTTGTTCTGTGTATATATATATATATATATGTACATACCGATCTTCCTGACATTGCTGTTCGTGAAAAGATACATTAGCAGATGAACTGTCCTGAGCCCAAAATTCTGGAAATACATCGACAGCGCCCGCTGCAGCTCCTTATCGTCGATGAATCCGCTGTTGTCTTGATCCGCCATTTGGAAGCTCGAAATCACGTTCGGATCGGTCCCCGGAGGGAACGCCGACGGAACCAGCGACGCAAAATTAGGGTTTCCGTACGCCGCCGGGGGGTAGCCGCCGGGAGTCGGGTTGGGGACGACGGGGGCGAACGGAGAAGATTGGGGGGGCGGAGGTTGGTGATAATTCGGCGGAGGCGCGGCGGGGAAGGGATATGCTTGCGGCGGCGGAGGGCCGCCGGGGAAGGGGTTCGCTGGAGGGTAAGACGACATCGTTTTAGGGTTTCTGAGTAGAGAATATTAGAAATTGGGAAGGGGTGGGGTGGGTTTTTATATTGATGGGGTTTGGGGGGTGTTTTTGTTATTTTGGGTTTGTATTTGAGCTGAATCGTCGCCGGCACGTCCGCGTGCGACAGCGAGATCGTCACGTGACTTTTTGGTACGAGTCAATGTTAAATGATTTTGACTTTTTTCTTAATTCCAAAAGTCAACGTGGTTTGGCATGGGAAAATAAAATGGTTCAAGTTGGCACTTTTATTTTCCATTTTGATGCTCACAATTTGGCAAGTTGTCGATATTCAATAAATTGAGATTTCAATGATAAGTTGGGTTTTTTAAGGATAGGGTCGCAAATTTAGATACATAATTTCACGATCATGAATTCACTCCTTACGACCGTAATTAATAAGTAATAATATGTTTATAATTATGTAATAATATATAAACTATATTTATTATTTATGATAACAAAATAATTTATTTGAGACGAAGAAAATAATAAAACGGAACAATAAATATAGAATAGATGAAATACTTTTTTTTAACATTATACTATTTCCGCTTCAATTCAATGTACCTATTTGTGTTTTTTTTGTCGGGGTTTAAACTCACACAACCAATCATAATTTATTAGTTAGTGAAAATTATAACATAATTTTGATATTTATACCTTTAAAAGTACAAAAGAAATAAATTATATTTTGTAAAACATAAAAATATATTAATATTTAGATATAACTACTTTCATTATAATAAAGTAGATACTTTTGAATAAAACAGACAAAAATAGTAAAAAATAATACATTGAATTAGGACGAAAAGAGTATATTTATACTTTACAAAATAAAATTTATATTGAATATACTATAAATTTATTTTTAATCAAATGAACTTTCAACCAAATAATATTTGATTACTCTGACAATAAAATTTAATTTCTAACCACAATCCCAACTACACCACATACACTAGTAGACTTTTGTTTTAACTTTTATATTTCCTAATTTAATATTTTAAAAATAATATAATTATTTAAGAAAATATTTTGTTAAAAACTAAATATTGACATACTAACTTTTAAATAAGAATGTGATACTGAATAATAAAAACTTATACTTATCAACTTAAATATACTTAACAAATATGAATTTATTTATTTAGTATTTTAGTTTGGTGTTTTTTTCTTCTTTTTTTTTTTTTTTTTTTTTTTTTTTTTTTTGATGAAAAACACAAATTGAAACTTATTCAAACAACATAAGGACCTCAATTATTCTCACAATAAAAGTGACCATCGAAAAGCAGATTTCGACTCAGCATATACCAACACCAACCAAACCCGATGCAACTAGAAATTCAGTACATGAAAGTATCAAAACATAGGGGACACAAATTCTAGGACATCATAGGATTATGAAACGTACCCGAATCTTACCTAGAGCGAGGTTTTGAGGTTCAGCGCTTTCGCATGATGGAGAATATGATCGTCTATGAAGGTTGCGATAAAATAGTAGGAGTGGTCGTATCCCGGCTGCATTCTAAGCAGTAAAGGAACAGTGGCATCCTTACAAGCATCCGCAAATTTGTGTGGTAGGAGCTGTTCTTTCAAGAACTTGTCTTCGGTTCCCTGCGTAAAATGGGATCATTACAAACATATTTGGAAATAAATATCGTCGCACAAGTGAGCCGAGTCGAATCTAACACTATAAGTTGGATATCACACTACTTCAACTAAATTCGGAGGATTTCTCCATTTTCAATAAAAATACACTATTTATTCTCATAAAACATTACATAAAAATATTATTTAAATGGCTAAGATGAAGTAAATGACCGTCTCACACAAAAGCTTAAGGTATTAGGGATACGCATCACTAATTTATTTATCTACAAACGGGAGTCGACCAACAAAATAAAAATTCAAATAAGAAACTCAAACATAAACATAAACCCCGACATTGAGCTCTACTTATAATTCAAGCCAAATTACTAAGCGAAGATATCATAGTACAGAACAATGTGGTTTAAGTTCAACAAATTTTGTAAATGGTTCGACAGATTTTTTATGTGATTCAATGGTTTTATTTTTTATTTCTTTTATTCAACATATAAATGTTCAACAAATTTAAAATATGATTCAATTCGTTTTCTTGTATGTTCGTCAGATTCACATTATAATTCAACAGGTTTTTGTTGTTCAATATCTAGCCTCCGTCTACTAACAATAGATACATTTTACTTTTAGGGCATCTTCAAACAATAGACGTGTTTCCTTGTTTAATATATATAGACCCTATAAAATTGATAACATATCCCATCACTCTGTGTGTTTCTTTTTGCCCAAACTTCCCAAATTTTGTACTCTGCATGTCCCGAAAAAATACACTTTTTCATCTCACAAAATATCACATCAAATATTATTTTAATATCAAACTCGAACTAAATTAAAAAACACACATCTTTGCATGCTTACACTCTATCTACTAAATATAAAATACTACTCTCTTCGTCCCAACTCAAAATACCATTTTTACTATTTTCGTATGTCTCACTCAAAAGTATCCATTTTCTATTTTTAAAAAAATAATTATACATTAATACCAAAATACTCTTCAATTTTTACTTCAATTACAAATTTACTATTACACGTACAATTACTTTATACATAAAATCAATGGGGCAGAAATCTCAACCTCTTACACACACCAATAAAATTCTATTCAATTGGGAGGGAGAGAGTATTATTCTTTAAACAACATGGAGTATAACATAGTTCACAAAATTACACCATGAGATGAACAATTTAACACCATACTAATGTTTTATGTTGTAAAGAATCATTATTTCTCCGTAGTTCAAAAGAATTGAAAATCGTTCAAATGCACAATTCTGAAAGAAATTGAGCACATAATCAACTCCCCTTTCCAAAAATAAACTATAAATATAATCAAGTAGGCTGAGAATACAAAGAGTTTAATATCTCTTTGGTCAAACCCAAGCTCAACTTTGATTGTTTCGGATGGACTCAATTTCTAACTCAAGTTGATTACAAGTGGCAAAATTCATTTGTAGCCCTATGTAGAACCTCCATTCGGTTCTCAATTATAGCATGAATATGAACAAGAAATGTTTCCTGAAGATAAAGGCACGAAATAGCTAACTAGAGTTCAATGCCAAGTAATGTTTCAAGGATGTAATCTATGATAGTCAATAAATCAGGTGTTGTACCTGATCGATTAGGATAGTTCCAGAAACCTTGTTGCATTTTGATGCAAGAACAGTGGCATCATATTCCTGCGAATTTACAAATAATGTGTAGTAGATACGTTCAACAAAACACTTTCGAATAGTGGATATGAAATCATTTTTAGCCGGCAAATATAAAAATCATACCTCCCACGAGGCTTTATCCTCACCCAAGTAGTTTGAGAAAGCTTTCTGGCCCCATGGGCAATTTATAGGATTGAGGATAGGTGCAAAGGCAGATACCGACTGCATAATATGCAATTGGAAATCAGAACACAATCTGGCGATGGAAGAATGAAAATGCATTAAGAAAGGGGAATTTTATACTTCTAGTCTCGACTACCTTGTATTTGTCTAAGTTTTTGAGGTAAATTGTCAGTGCTCCGTGTCCGCCCATTGAATGCCCAGATAACGAAGCCTGAGAAATGTCAAGCTGTGGAAAGTTTGCCTGAATAAGTGCCGGCAGTTCCTTCACAACGTAGTCATACATCTGCCAGTTCTTCCACTTATCTTGTGTTGCATTGAGATAAAATCCAGCACCTATCATATGATACCGAACAAAGAAAACTTACGCATATCATGTCCGCTCGGAAGATTGTAATAGTGTAAAGAGGCAGATGAAAGGCTGGCACCAGATTTAGGCATGATTTGCAGGAACTTCTATGTTTTTCACATTAGTCAAAATTGAAATGACTAAAAAGAAAATAGTGCGGATATATGTTAATATATTAGTTAAAATATATAATTTCACTAACGGTTATAATGTATAGACATATACATATAATATATTAGAACCAAAAAAAAATGGAAGAAGCTGCTACAAGAACTCCAAGAATCATTCAAATTTGGGAATTCGTAAGCACCTTCAGCTCACCAAAATGCATAGTTCTTTGTTCAAACAATGCCTTATTGCTAAAGCAAATTTCACTAAAAGGTTTATCATAATCGTGGAAAGGTAAAACCAGATATTTTATAGATGTAGATTTTCTAACTGCAGAATCGAATAACACGCATTCTATGATTCCATCAAACCAAAACTGGAATCTTACACATTTAGATCACAAGTCATATGACTCATATATATATATATATATATATATACACATGTGTGTGTGTATGTGTGAGTGTGTATGTGTGTACGTTATTTTTTATAGAATGTGTGACGGAAACAGAGCAATTACAACAAAAGGATTTTCTAAGGCATACCTACACCAAAATCCCAGCTGTCTGACTCTCCTTCAACATTCAACCCTCCTGAAATAAAAGTCCGATTAATTGCTATGACAAACACAAAAACCTACGTATAAAAAAGCTATATTTGATTATGTTATGGTAACACATATAATCAAGACAAATAATGCCATAAAACAGCCTTCTCACTCACAACCATTTCGATGTTGCAAGGAGGTGGCCGTTAATCACCGAAGAAACCACCCTCAATTGAGTGATCGATTCCACATAAAAACCAGGAAGAAACTACATTCTTAACAGATTCAATCAACAAAACAAAACGTCAGTTGGATTAATTAACCATAATTCTCTAACAAAATACAAAAGACATGCCAAAATTTATTTTTTTTTTAAAAAAAAAAGAACCATTGCACACCTCAAACACATAGAAGTTTCAAATCAATACGAGCAAAATACATTTTTAGTAAGGAAAACTATCAACCAAGATACATTTCCATTACAACTAATCCAATTAAACATTTTTACAGATCTAATCGAGACAAAACAAACACATCTCCATTGCAATTGATCCAATTATACATTATTACAATTGTTCCAATTATATCGACCCCAAACAAACACATTTCCATTACAATTGATACAATTATACATAATAACATATAACACTTCCATTACAATTGATCTATATATATGCACCTACATATATCGATCCAAAACAAACACATTTCCATTTCAATTGATCCAATTATACTCACTTGGGGAAGTATCCGGAACAATGAGTGCAATACCCTCCCTGGAAGCAGCACGTTGTGCACCTGATTTAGTTATAAAATTCTCATCTGTGCAAGTGAGTCCAGACAACCAATAAAGTACCTAACAAGAACACAAAATTGATGAAAACCATAAATTAAGATTGAACACCTAAAATCCCCAATTTCTACATAAACCTCAACCAAACATTCAAGAAATTGAAAACAATAACAGCAACAACTGAATAAATAAATTAAACACAGATACAGCAACAGCGAGCATCCAGAAACCAACATTTCTAAAATCGATTTCTCCGCAGAATTTACGATTGAAAACAACAATAGCAGCAACTGAATAAGCAAAATACACACACATACATCAACAGTGAGCATCCAACAATCAACATTTCTAAAATCGATTTCTCAGCAGAATTTACGATCAATCAAAATTCCACAACAATTTGAGAACAAACCACAAAAAAAAATTGAATTCGAAAAATCCGGCATTATTGCAAATTAGGGTTAGGGTTTACGGGGAATTTGTGGGAAGGGGAAGGAGCGGGAGGGAAGTAGATGTGGAAGTTCATGGAGCAGCCGAGAACGGTGCTGAAATGGTTGAATCGCTTGTTGTATCCATCGAACATCTTCGTGCTGCTGATTTCGGTGGGCTTGGCGGTGGCCTCCATTGGTATCCTTGGTCAGTTTTTCTCACTACAACACTTCTACTTCTGCGACTGTATGAGAAAGGATGAGATGAACAGACAGACAATGGGAAATGTGCTAACAAAATAGGCCATGGCAATAATTGGAAGGTTTGTCATAATATCTACAATAATATCGACTGTTTTTTTTTTTTTTTTTTCTTTTTTTTTATAATTTAAAATAAAATATTAATATTTTTTTAATTTTTTTAATTTAAATACATGACATTACTATTGACACAGTATATTATTTATATTAATTAAGTTGAATTATGTACTAAATTCAGTATTTCAATACAGTTGAATCAAATCCTAATTATTTATTTTAATATAATTTAATTTAATTAAAATAGTTAAATATTGATTATAGACAAAGATTAATTCAGCATCTGGCTAAATTAATATTTGCCTCACCACATCAAGAGCATATATTTTTAGAGGCATGGCTATGCATAATAAAAATAAGTATTGTTTTTATATTTTATGTATATTTATTTTGAAAAATTCGTACCAATTTTTTCAAATAAGCACCTTTAACCCGTTTTCGCAATTGTATTTAATATTTAAAATATTTTTATATTTGTACAGTTTACTCTAAAATTATGATTGTATTTGCATTATAAGAAACTAATAGATGTATTTTTGAATAATTAACATTCAAATATTAATACAAAAAAGCTACTGTATACTTTGTGACTGAATTGAGGTAATATTTTATTAATAAATAAATAAATTTTAATTTGAAATTACAAAATAACAAACTTCATTTGCCTAATTATTTGCTCTATTTACATAAATATTGTTGAAATGTTTTACAATAATAGATTAATTAGGTTTTTATTTGAGATTTAAACTATCATTAGTTGGTTATATTATTATTAATAAAATATCAAACTAAATAATTTTTAAATAAAATTTTGGTTTCAAATCAAAATCACAGTAGTAATTTTTTTAATATATATTTTAAAAATTTTTAATGAAAATCACATCAAATATTGCAGGTAGAAAAATTACAATTGATCTCGTTGATGTCAAAATCATTTAATTTTAGTTTTATTGAAAAAAAAATCATCAATTTCATAATCTTTAATTACTTTTGATTATGCCGATAGTGAAAATTGTGACATGGTATCTATCAGGACCAAAGGTCATTTGTCTGAGACTCGGTAATCTCTGCATGACCTCTCACACTATGAGACAAAGGTCATTTGTTTGAGGCTCAGTAATCTCTGCATGACCTCACTCTGAGACAAAGGTCATTTGTTTGAGGCTCAGTAATTTCTGCATCACCTCTCACACTCTGAGACAAAGGCCATTTGTTTTAGGCTCAGTACTCTCTGCATAACCTCTCAGACTTTGAGACTCGAAATTTTGTCAGTACCGTATACTCAATAATTGATCTCTCACACTTTGAACTCTAGATTGGTCATTAACTTATACTCAATAATCTCGACATGATCTCTCACACTTTGAATTCAAGATTTTGTCATTATCTTATACTCAATAATCTCGTCATGATCTTTCACACCCTGAGACTCAGTATTTTGTCATTATCTTATACAGAAAACTCAATAAATTAGTTGCACAAAAATCCTCAAAGAAACCAGACAAGTCACTTTAGGAATCAAATAAATAAACGGTGCTCCAAACATGTATGAAATATGACACACTGTGAGACTCAGTATTTTGTCACTATCTTATACAGAAAACTTAATAAATTAATTGGACAAAAATCCTAAAGAAACCAGACAAGTCACCTTAGGAATCAAATAAATAAACGGTGCTCCAAACCTGTATGGAATTTGACACATTCTGAAACTCAGGATTTTGTCACTATCTTATACAAATAACTCAATAAATTAATTGGACAAAAATCCTCAAAGAAACCAGCAAATCACCTTATAAATCAAATAAATAAACGGTGCTCCAAACCTGTATGGAATTTGACACATTCTGAAACTCAGGATTTTGTCACTATCTTATACAAATAACTCAATAAATTAATTGGACAAAAATCCTCAAAGAAACCAGCAAGTCACCTTATAAATCAAATAAATAAACGGTGCTCCAAACCTGTATGAAATTTGACACACTGTGAGACTCAGTATTTTGTCACTATCTTATACAGAAAACTTAATAAATTAATTGGACAAAAATCCTAAAGAAACCAGACAAGTCACCTTAGGAATCAAATAAATAAACGGTGCTTCAAACCTGTATGGAATTTGACACATTCTGAAACCCAGGATTTTGTCACTATCTTATACAAATAACTCAATAAATTAATTGGACAAAAATCCTCAAAGAAACCAGCAAGTCACCTTATAAATCAAATAAATAAACGGTGCTCCAAACCTGTATGAAATTTGACACAATGTGAGACTCAGGATTTTGTCACTATCTTATACAGAAAACTCAATATATTAATTGGACAAAATCCTCAAAGAAACCAAACAAGTCACCTTGTAATCAAATAAATAAATGGTGCTTCAAACTTGTATGGAATTTGTCACACTTCGAGACTCGGATTTTGTCACTATCTTATACAGACAGCTCAACAAAGTAATTGGACAAAAATCTTCAAAGAAATCATACAAGTTAGGAATCAAATAGATAAATGGTGCTCCAAACCTGTATAGAATTTATCACACTGAGACTCAAAATTTTGTCACTATCTTGTACAAACAGCTCAACAAAGTAATTGGACAAAAATTCTCAAAAAAAATAGACAAACCACCTTAGGAATCAAATAAAGAAACGGTGCTCCAAACCTGTATGGAATTTGTCACTATTTTATACAGACAGCTCAACAAAGTAATTGGACAAAAATCTTTAAAAAAATCAGACAAGTCATCTTAAGAATCAAACAAATAAACGGTGCTCCAAACCTGGAATTTGAAGATGCCATTGAAACATGTTCACAAACTCAACAACTCCAACCTTCAAATAATTGTGATACAATCATTCCTTCAATTTTCTAGAAATTCTGTTCATCTGCGACGTCGACACTCTCTTACTTTTTGAAAATGAGCTTTCATGCTACTTAGCCTGTTTCATTTTTCTCCTTTCAGTCCACATGTAATATTTTATATTAAATCATTAATTTTTATGATAGAATAAAATATAGTATATTATAGTTTTTAATAATATTTATGAAGAGTAATCTATTACAAGGAAAAAAAAAACAATAAGTGAACAAATTATAATTCTATATTTTTTTATCTATAAAAATATTTATCTTCTTTAACAAAAGTATTATAGTAGTATTGAATTACAATTTAAATATAAAATATAAATACAAATTGTTCTATATATTTTATGTGTGATTTAGTCATTTTAATTTATTTTTTATTTCATATATAAACATTGAATGTATTTATCACATATATAATTTAAACTACAGAAACACGACTTTGAGATTGCACACGAGTTTTGATTGCTCTGTAGGGGTAAATTTGTAAAAGCAAGTATCAACCGAGGATGGCGCAAAAGCGCGTTTTAAACTTACAAAAGTCCAATTTACAGAAACACGACTTTGAGTTTGCACACGAGTTTTGAATGGTCTGTCGTCGTCTGCTGCGCACTGAGGAAGAAAGCAACAATGGCGGCGGAATCGAACAATCTAGAAGAGGTTTTGGAGCCGTTTTACCGAAGAGCTTCGGAAGCAGAGGTGCGTGCTAAATGATAGAGATGATAAGAATTCTTAACATTTGTTTTTGTTCCTATTTTCGTGGTATGTTTCTCTTTGACTGAGTGCTGATTTTGATGTATATGTACGATCGTTGCCTGCGTTTTGAGGTGTTTTTCTTCACTGTGTTGGTACGCGGTGTGATTTTGATTCTTGTATAAGTGAAGTTTCGGATTTCAATCTGAGTAATACAATCCCTAGATAAAATTAGTCTGTGCTGTGATGAAGTAATTATAGGTTGATTAGCGTTTTCATATTGTGAAAGGAATGAATTTGTAACTGTCCTTGTAGAGTAGTTCGATTGCCATTGAAATAGAGTTATTAAAGCCATGAAGCTTTGTTAAACATTTGTATGTAATTTACATTAGAGCATTTTTCAGATTGCGATAATCTTCAATTCAATGCAGATGCAGTAATTGATACTAAATTTTTTTGGGGAAGATGATATTTGTAAGTACACCTACTGATTAGTGAATTGAATTTTTAGATTATACTATAAGACCATAGTTTAAATTCTTAAATTGTGGTACAAGACTTATGAAAATTATGGAATTTTAAAGTGAACTTGAGAAGGTGATTGTTGCTTTGATCGGGTGCAGATTTATTTGATCAAATACAAGCATGTTATTTATTGTCTAGTAGCAAAATTAGACAATAAATAACATACAGTATGGTGCTAGTAGACAAGATAGTTCAACTGCATATATTTAATTTGTTGTAGATAAAAAGATCGTAATTAAACATTAGGTTGAGCCGGTATACACCAGTCGTATTGTCCCTTATGCCAGCGATGAACTATGGGCCGTAACTGGTGGAGTCATGCCTCCGTCGCTGTTCTTTTAAAGAAATTAAAATGCTCAAAACAACCCTACACTCTATAGACATTAATATATGATAACAACAGAGGATTTTGGTTCTGTTAAGTTGGCCTTTTGGGATCGGAATAATGATTAACAGGACAGTTGGGAGCATTCGAGTTTTATGGTCAGAGGTTAAATTTTGAATTTATGAAAGATGAACAACTGCGAAATCAGTTGCCAAAGATGGTTTTATTGATCATAGTTTTCGGGAGTTTATATTGAGCCTGGATTGACTCGACTCCAACTTTTGACATCTGAGTTTTGCTAGGCCAGCGAGGCAGTGATAACGGAATATAACTGTTGGCATAAACGTTAAAGAACTTTCAAATCTGACTGTTTTGTTCCGTGATCTGCTAAGGCTCCTTTTCTGTCTTGTAAAATGTTTCCTGGCATGAAGTTATCCCAATTTGTAAGCTACTTGAAATTGTGTAGCAGAGCTGTTAGGTTATATTACCATTTAGAGCCTGTGTGAATCATTAAACATGATTTAGATTAAATCGAGAATGTAGTTTGTTCTGGTGAATATCTGTGTTATATGGTTATTCTTCGGCATTCAGTTTTATCATCAATGTATATAGTTAAGTGGCGTCAATTATGTGTACGAGAACATTCTGCTTTGTTTTAACCATTTGTTTCATTTGGTGTGAAGGATCGCTTGGCGAGGCTCGAAGCTTCTTTGTCAAGAAACAAAGGTCTGTCCGAGCTGCCATTGTTCTTGAAATCATGGACCAAAAATGTCATATTTCTTACACCCTCTGTAATTTTATTTCAGATTCTGGGAATGAGAAGCAACAAAAACTGATTGGCGAACTCCAGTCAAAGCTAGAAAATACAAAAGCCGAACAAGTTGTTGAAAGAGAAAAGGTATCCTTTCTAACCATCTATCTAATCATCAAAAATATAGTATCCGAAACAAAAAATGGAGCCTCCTTTTCTAGATGAAGAAAGCTATGATGGAAGTGCAACGCCTTACTTCTGAAAATGCAAAGCTTCAATACCGAATACTCCATCTTGCTCGAGCATTAAAGGAGGCTGATCACAGATAATCCGCTAATTAAGGTATCATACTCACCGCCCGCTCTTGCAAATTTCTTAGGGTGTGTTTGTTTGTGGATTTTAGTTTTTAGGTTTGGATTTTTAAATAGTAAAAAGTTGAATTTGAATAGTTGTTTGACTTGATATAAATAGAAATTGATGTGATATTTTGAATATAAAATAAATTTATAGTATAATATAAAAAAAGAAAAGTAATTGTTTGATGTGATATTTTTGGAGGGAAAAAAGAATCTAAATAGTAAAAAGCTTCGGTAAACCTTAGAAATTTTGAAAAACTAATCCCTTCGCTTACGCTTATTTATCTGAATCGTAAAAATCTTATACGGACTCATATATATATATATATACATGTAAGAAAGACATGGATTATGCCTCTGTTGTTTACACTAGACGATAAATAGCTACACTCTGTCTGGTTATTGCAGTCGTTTCATCGACAATTACACTTAAATATCTCCCGTTCGATGCTATGACCCGAGCTTGATTTCGGGCGATCAGACTGCTCATTCTTGCAGGCTTCTTACCTTCTCCTGGTATGGAATTTCTTAGCAAACTTATTCAAATTATCCATTGTTTATCTGTGAATTTCATACATAGCATTGTCCCATTTTCACATGCTTCTAATTTATGCTCTTTTGATTCATTCTTCAGTGTGTTTTTTTTTTTTGGTGTGATTTTCACTCTGTTCTATTAGCAGTATTTTTCAATTGCTATTCACAAAAGTCAAAAAAAGTGAAAAATAAAAAATTTCAAATACTCATTAAAAAAAAGTTAAATATTCAATTTAAAATAATAATTTTTTTTTTACTTTTGACACAATTTCGTATATCATACATTAAAAAATCATTGCTGCTGCATAAAAAAGAGTCTTTTTTATTATTATTTATATATATATATATATATATTTTAGCTACACTCTTAGTATTTGTTTAGGTTCTTTAGACAGATGTTTTGTATGTTTTTGGAAAAACAATTTCGCAGTAGGAAAGATTGGATATCTGACGGGAGAAGAAATATATATTGGATGTATTATATATATTTATTTATTTTATTTATAATAAATAATTTTATTATTTATATTTTAAGCAATAATAATTAATTTGTTATTATTTTTTCTACTTATCCATAATCTTTTTACCAAATTTTTAATAATTTTTTTGATTATATCTCTAATTTATTTTTTACCTATCCAATTTTAATATTAAAATATTACTTATTATTTTTTAATCTCTGTATTCAAGCAAACTTATATAAAGTGTGCCAGACAGAGGGTGTATATGTTTGTGTTTGAATTTGAAGTATTTAACTAAAATACGATTTAAATTGTAAGATAATTTTTATTAAAACCATACAGTTTAAATGAAATTATTTATTTAAAATACAAACCAAACAAATCATATTTGGTTTTGATTGGATTTAATTGATTTAAATTTAAGTTTATTCACTCTCGGATGATTGTGTCTTTTACATTAACTATGACAAATCTGTATTTTTTAATTGATATGATAGAATTAAATATATATGTTTATTGCATAAAGTAGATTATCCCTATGACATTTGTCGTTTCTTGATATTATCATAATCTTAAATTAATACCGTAGGGTTTCATTCTAGGGTAGTCTTGTTTGGGTGTGTGTGTTCTTTTTTCAATATTTTGATTTATTTGAAAATTTAAAAATAAAAATAAAATATCTTTTGATATGGTTATAAATTTAAAATAAATGACATATTTTAAATAAAAATAAATTTTATATATAATATTTTTTCTATTCTTCTAAGAGATATTAGCACATGGAGCATTAGCATTAAGAGTATTTTTATTACAATAATAAAATATATTCGGTTGGATTACTATCCTTATTAATTTTTCTAAAAAACACAAATTTTACAAATTGAGATAGCTAATGCTATGTGAATAATAGTGTGTGTTATATGTATGTTCTATAAAAGAATATCATATTTTATTATGTCTTTTTTTTTTTTATTTTATGTAACGAGAATATGTTACATGTCTTTAAAAGAAATATATTGTATTATATTAATATAAAGAATATATTCTTTATAAAAATATAGTGTGTTTTTTTTTAAAATTATATAATGTGTTATTCGATGCAATGCTAAATTTACATTCAATATAAATGCCATATAAATTTATGGTAAAATATATACAATTGTTAATATCGAAGAAATATATATTAAAGGAAATAGTACCATTATAGTAGTTTGAATAAGGCAAACGCAACATACAATAAAGGACAAATTAAGCACTTATGGTTGCTTAAAAAACAATTTATATTCATTAGTAAGTATTTGGTTAATATAATAATATTTAGTGTTAACAATTATTCCATCGTTCAATTTTTATTATCCTAAAGTATATTTGTACGATTTTTTAGGTGATTGTCTTTTGTTATGAATTGATAAATTTGTCCTTGATGGTATATGGAATGAAAGGTAAAAATATAAAATTTGTATTTAAAAAGAGAAATAAGATAATAGTTATTGGACGTCTCAAATAGGAAAGTAGGACGTTAGTTTGTGGACGAAGAGAGTATTATATAGTTAGTTTATGTAAGTTCCGAAGATACATACGTAGTAATATTTTTTTTTAGCAAATACTCCTTTATTCAATTTTTCACTATTTAATTTTTTTTTAATTTTTGAAAAAATATTTTGATAAAATATCACATTTGGTATTATATTAATAAAAAGAACAAACTTTTAAATTCAATTCAAATTCAAAATAAACAAACTTTTATAAATTTTCACTATTTATTTTTTTTCTTCGAAAATAGTCAAAATACTTGTGTTCACCAAATATGGGTGTGTGTTTTTGTAAAAAAAAATACATAAAACAAAAAACAAAATATATTTTTCTCAAATATTAATATATTATAAATATTTATTATTTTTATATTGTCTATACATTTTTTTACTTTAAATAAAAAATTTATATTTTTTCAAATAATTTTACAAAACAAACAAGCCCATTGCTTTTACACAATCTCTAAATAATATTAAAAATACAGGTTGTGTTTGCTCGTGGAATTTTATTTTCAATTTTACTATTTTAATATTTTTTTTTAAAAAAAAATTTAATCAAATACTTATGTTTTACTTATTATATTGCTTTCAAATTAAATTTTATTTTCAAAATACATTCATCTATATATATATATATATATTAAATTAAACAATTATTTCAATTCAAAATTCTAATCAAATCTAAAACTAAAATTTTACAAGTAAAATTAAAATTCATATTTTAAAATAAAAATACATTCATTTTAAAAATACAAATTAAATACGCTCATATCTTTTATTTTTAAAATTAAATTAAAAATTAATTTTACCTTTAGGGTGTGTTTGTTTGGGAATTTGGATTTTGAGTTAGAATTTGAATAATAAATATTTTGAATTTGAATAGTTGTATAAAATTAATTTTTAATATAATATAAAAATAAAAAATAAATATTTAATTTGATATTTAAAAAAAAATAAATAAATAAATAATGCCCATACAATTTTTATTATTAGTAATAAAATCCCAAAACAAATACACACGCCTTTAACCGATTGAGCAGATTACATTACAATAATAAAAAAAAACAAAACAAACACAGCCTACAGGACCTCGAAGAAATCCCCAAATCCCAAAAAAAACAACAAAACCGAATCATTAATTAAAATCCCAAATTCGAAATCCAACAAGAATGGTTTCTTCTTCTGCTTCGAGCTCATCATCGTCATCATCGTCGTCGTCTTTGCTGATCGGAGGCTTAATCGTGCTCTGGTACGCCTCCAACATCGGCGTTCTTCTGCTCAACAAGTTCCTCCTCTCCAACTATGGCTTCGCCTTCCCAATCTTCCTCACAATGTGTCACATGTCCGCCTGCGCTCTCCTCAGCTACATCTCCATCGTCTTCCTCAAAATCACACCCTTCCAGAGCCTCAAATCGCGCCACCAGTTCCTCCGCATCGCCACGCTCAGCATTGTCTTCTGCGCCTCCGTCGTCGGCGGCAACATCTCCCTCCGATACCTCCCCGTCTCCTTCAACCAGGCCGTCGGCGCCACCACGCCTTTCTTCACCGCTCTCTTCGCCTTCCTCGTCACTCAGAAGCGAGAAGCTTGGATCACCTATGGCTGCCTCGTCCCCGTCGTTGCCGGCGTTGTTATCGCCAGTGGGGTACCTAACTACCTATTTATTTATTTTAAAAATTAATAATAATTTGTGTTTTTGAAGTTTTGTGGTGGATAGATTTGATCTTTGATGTGAATTTTTGGTGGAATTTAGAATCAATTTTGTAGAAGATCTGTTCTTCGATTGATTTGTGATTTTTAGGGATTTAGGGATTCTAATATGATGTTTTGTTGATGGCATTTTGAGCTCATTGTGAATTTTGGGGGAATTTTGGATTAATTTTAGGGTAGATCTGTTCTTCGATCAATTCATTGATTGATTTGTGATTTTTAGCATTTGGGGATTGATTTCTATTTTGATGTTTTGTTGGTGAGACTTCTGATCTTGAGATCCTTTTAGATTGTTTGGTGAATTTTTGTCTCATTTGTTGTTCATTAGCATAGCATAGGTTGCTGATTGATCGGTATATTGGTTGCGTTCTTCGATTCAATTTCAGTTTCCGTTGTTGATTTACTACTGATCGGATTGCTCGATGGATTTATGCATGTAAGAGTGGTTTCATTTGCAAATTTAAGTTTTTTTTACTTCGGTTTTGAGCTTGTTCGGTGATGAAGATCTGATCTTGAGATCCTTTTCAAATTTTCGATGAATTTTAATCTCATTTGTTGTTCATTAGCATGGCATTGGTTGCTGATTGATCTGTATATTGGTGCCATTATTTGATTCGATTTCATTCGCTGTTTTTGGCTTACTATAGATCGAATTGATCGATGGATGTATGTAAGAATGGTTTCTCTTGCAAATTCGAGTGTTCTTTTTCGCTTTAATTGTGATGAATTTCAGCGCAATATTCACTTATTGAGCGATCCGGACTGAGTTAAACTTAGTTTATATGATAGCAAGATTTGTTAAATTTGTAGTGTGCGACAATGGGGCAATGTGCTGATGTTTTTCTTCGTATTTGTGCTAACGGCGCTTCCTGCGACTATTGTTTGTCTGTTTGTTTGTCTCTCGAGAAATTCACTGCTTGGTGACTTATCGTTTCTTGAATTACGGTGATTGCAGGGTGAGCCGAGCTTCCATTTATACGGTTTTATCATGTGTATAAGCGCGACTGCTGCCAGAGCTTTCAAATCGGTGCTTCAAGGTGTCCTCCTTTCTAATGAAGGGTAAGCAATCTCTCTCTCTCTCTCTCTCTATATATATATATATATATAGTACAATAGATGAGTGAATTGACAATTTTATCATGTGGGGACGAGAATAGTTAAAATAAGTTGATGACGGGACATAATTACTAAAAAAGAAAACAGATAGACTGATTTTAGACCGATCAAAATGACAATAGATAAACAGAGGGAGTATATGAATGGTGCACGTGCACACACACATGTATATATATATATGTTCATGTATATTGTTCGACAAGTTAAATGGGAGCCTCGTGAAGAAGGAAGAAAATGTTGTATTGTATTGTCGTATATTTAGTTACATTTATTTCTTTCATTCTATTTATCTATACGCGGAGAAGGAAGAAAATGTTTTAGCTCATTTATGAACCCCGGTTTTCTCGATCTTTCCAAGTCAAGCAAGTGAAAGATATTTATGTCCGGTTAACTTAATCGTATTCTTGTGATTGTAGGGAAAAATTGAACTCGATGAATTTGTTGCTTTACATGGCCCCGATAGCCGTCTTGGTTTTGCTTCCGATCGCACTTGTGATGGAACCGCAAGCAATAGACATGGTTCTTTCGCTAGGGACCGACCAAAAGCTCATGTGGATTCTTCTTCTTCTTAATTCGACGATGGCTTACGGCGCCAACTTGTGCAATTTCTTGGTTACGAAGCACACTAGCGCTCTCACTCTCCAGGTCACCTCTCTCTCTCTCTACACGCTCTGTTTTCATTTTTTTTTTTGTCGAAATAGAATACATGAACTATGTGTAGAGTGAGAATCGAACCCCTTAATCTAACGATAGGCTTGAACATGAAAGAAAGATAATTAAGGCTTGGACCCAACTCTAGCCCGGCTTGATTTTTCGATATAGTATTATTATTTTGTTAAAATGAATCGAAAGGACTATTAGTTAATCTTAACATCACCCTAAGAATCGTCGTTTATTGTTACTATTTCCTTCATCGAACTAAAATTCACATTGAAAGTGTGTTTGTTTTGTATTTTTAGTTTTAGGTGTTTTTTTATGGGAAGTACAGAGAAAAATATATATCCATTGAGTTATATTAGATATTTTGTCTAAATATTGTATTTTTTTATAATATTAATTGGGAAGCATGTCGAAATTTTTTTATAGAACACACTCGGATTACAAAATCACTTTCGAGTCGAGTGCAATCCATCCCTAATCTAATCCAATTTCTCGGATATTTTGTCTAAATAGGTACTCGGCAATGCTAAAGGCGCAGTGGCTGTGGTTATATCGATTCTAATATTCAGAAACCCGGTGACCTTCATCGGTATTGCCGGCTACACAATGACCGTATTGGGAGTCGTCGCTTACGGTGAATCCAAGAGGCGATACACCTGAGCCGAACTCGAACTTAAAATCGTATATTCTTTTTTTTTTTTGGAAGAAATCGAGATCGGATCAAGAGAGATCGATTTAACACGAAAAAGGTTCGATTTCGATTTGACGGGAATTTAATTCTTGGATATTAATTAATGTATGAATGATCTTTCCATACATCCCATACATCTATTCGTATGCAATTGAAAGACAAGAATGGATTCAAGTATAGGAGAGTTGAGGGTGCTTTTGTTCGGGGGATTGGATTAGATTTTTACTATTCATTCCATTTTTTTCCCCCAAAAAACATTAAATCAAACACTTATTTTTTATTTTTTATATTATACTTAAAAATTAATTTTACATATCAACACCTATTTATATCACATCATACAATTATTCAAATTCAAAATTTTTACTATTCAAATCCCAATTTAAAATTCAAACTCCCAAACAAACACACCCCAAACACTTCCCACTATATAAATTGTTCGTATTTCTATTTCTATTTATATTTTTTGCACTTATTTCGTCAATAAATAAATATATTTTTATATATTTTAAATTTATTCTAATTATATATATATATTATTTTCTCTGTTATTAAAATCATATTCACTTTTCTTTATGAATTATCATAAAAAATATATATTTTTAAGTAAAAAATCATGCACTTTTTTTATTATAAAAAATAAAGTAATAATTATTAATCACTTTTATTAAAACGCATGCTCGGTCAAATATACATACAATTGCAACCGATGGAGTAAAATTTTAAAAAGTATGATTTCTATAATATGTACATTCAAATTTTGAATGAAAAATATGATATTTATCTTTATGGCATATATTGATATTGATTTAACCTATATAATGACCCTAATTTAATCGGATCAGATGAGATCCATGCTCAAATATTATACTCTCTTCGTGTGTGTTCATTTGACCGGACACAAATTTTAAAAAAAATATGTAAAAATAAAAATTTTACTTTTTTTGATAAAAAAAATAATAATAAATTTGAATAATAACAAAAAAAAAATGAGAATAGATTTAAACGACGAGGGAGTATAAACTATTATCATATTGTTGGCTAACTATGTCCTAATTTATACCTCATATATTGTCGCATACGTCAATGATTTGGATAGATTCGCTAAATAATTTTCTCTAACTACGCAAATTCTTTTTCCGCAAACTAATGTAATTTCATAAATACCATATAAATCTATGAAACAAAATAAGAAAACTACCAAATAACAAAATATTTGAAGTAAATACAAACCCAAGAAGCATAGCATAGCATAATTAAACATCAAAATAATTGTCCAAATTTAACACTTAACTAATTCCAATCTCTTTCCCAAAATGATCACCAAACTCTCTCTCCATTTATTCCATTCATTTATAATCTTTTTTCTCCCTAAATAAAAAACACCAAACGAAATATATTCATGTAAATAAATAATAATAATAAAAAAAACATATAACTGAAAATGAAAAAATAAATAAAAACATATAAAAATTACCTTCTAGAAGGAGCCACACGTGTGCCGCCATTCGTCTAGGCGGCGTCGGGGCCACTCGGGAGTGGTTCGTAGCCGTCGCCGCGATTTTTAGAAGCATCGGGGCGCCGGGTAACGGGAATGCACTTGATGACAACGGCAAGCGGCAAGCTGACTGCCCCGAGGGCGACGCTTAGCAACCATAGCTGCCAGCTTAGGGGAACGGTGCTGGCGAAAGTGCCGAGGAATTCGATTATGACTACCTGGAAAACTACCGTGGCGAAAATGATCCCGTTGAATACCCAGTTCCCTAAGATCCCACGGAAGATGTTGATCTTTTCGATGTCCCGGCTGTTAATTTCGTTGAATACCTGCATGCAGATGAGTTAGTTGAGTGAGATATAAGTTTTCGGAAATGCTTGTGATTTAATTTTGTGTAATTTCTTCGACATTTGGTTGTTTGTTATATTTTTTATCCTATGGTGTATCGATCTTATAAAGTAACATGCTACTTTGCTACATTATTCAACACTAGAGCTGTTAAACAAATCAGGTAGCTCGTGCGTCAATTTTGACCCGACTAGTTAATAACTCGATTCGACTCGACTCGTTTATAGAAATGATTGGAACTTACGCTCGAAAATGATCATTTCTATAAACGAGCCAAGCTCAAGCTAGGCTTGTAGGCAACTCAAATGAGCTTGTTAGTGACAGTACATATGTACCATTTTATATATTAATATAATGCTCTCTCCGTTCCTGCTAATTTGTCCACTTTAGATTAGACCGGAGTTTTAGTTACTATATAATTAGTAAATAATTAAGAAGTGTATTAGTAAAAATAATAATAAATTAAGACGACTAAATAGTTTAACTAAATATAAAAATATATATATAAATTATAAATTTTAAAATATGATTAAAGTATATAATTATATTTTTTAAAAAAATAGCAAATTAGGTGGGACGTACGAAAATAGAAAAAGTATACAAATTAAGTGGGATGGACTGAGTATAATATAATATAAAAAAAAATTTATATAAAAAATTGTATTTATTAATGAAATTTGAATATTTTATTATAATAAATTAAATATATTCAATTTATTTCTTAAAATGTATAAATTTCAAGCCGAACTCAAACTCGAGCTTGAAGTCGAATCTAACGAGCCGAACTCAAGCTATTATTTTAGCTCGAATTCTAAATGAGTTGAGTCGAATTTGTACCGAGAACATATTTTGAGTCTAGCTCGAATAACAAATACTCGAGCTCCCTCGACTCATTTAACAGCTCTATAAATCAACATCATACGCGAACAAAATGTGCGAAATTACGGAATAATAAAGAGTTACCTGGCAAAAGACGAACGTGTTGAATATGAAAGTATTCTTCACCATTTTTGCGTCGGAGCCGGAGAGTTCCAGCAACTGTTCTCCGAGAAAATTAAGAACAAGCAGGACGGCGAGCTGATAAACGCTCTGCCCGATGATATTCCTCCACATTGTCCGCGTGATGAAACTTTCGGTTCTTGCAACCGGAGGCCTCTGCATAAGACCTTCATGGGGCGGCTCGGTGGCTAGCGCGAGCGCGCCTAAAGTGTCCATGATCAGATTGACCCAAAGCAGCTGAACGGCCGTAAGGGGAGCGGATCCTAAACGGGGAACGAAAAGGAACATTTTTTTTTTCGATCATTTAAAATGAATTCTCGATTTTAGAAAGAAAAAATCGATGTTTAAATGTACCGGAGGCGCAGGCGGATATGAAATTGATCATAAGCGCAACGATGTTGACTGTGAGTTGGAACTGTACAAACTTCTGGATGTTGATGTACACCGATCGGCCCCATTTCGCGACGTTTACGATGGTTGCGAAGTTGTCGTCCAGCACGATCACGTCGGCGCTTTCTTTCGCAACCTGGTAAGAATTATTCGATGGATCGATAGAAATTAAAATCATGGAAGAAGCTAAAAAACGATTAAACGAGCAAATGTACGCGCGCACCTCCGTCCCGGCAATGCCCATGGCGAGTCCGATGTCTGCCTCGTGCAAAGCCGGAGCGTCGTTCGTCCCGTCGCCCGTTACTGCGACGACCTCTTTGAGAACGCTCCTCGACGTCTTTACCAAAACATGCTTGTCCGTGGGCGACGATCGCGCCATAACCTAAATCGAACAATTAAAAACACAATTCGGGAAGTTAAAAACAAAATCACTCCCGGGAAAGAATATCAACCTTAAGTTTCGGGATTAGTTGGCTCATCTCCTGCTGACTCTTGGTGCGAAATTCGGGACCTTCAATAGCTAAGTCGCCGTCTGTAAGTATACCGCATTCTTTCGCAATCGCTTTAGCCGTGTTAATGTTATCGCCAGTGACCATGCGCACGGTTATTCCAGCCGCTAAGCAAGTTTTAACAGCTTCCCTAACTCCCGGACGAACGGGATCCTTTATCCCGACAATACCAATCAACGTATATCCCGATTCCGGGATTTTATCCTTGTCGACGATGTCACCGTTGTCGATATCCTTAAAAGCCAGGCAGAGAGTACGCAAAGCATCGCAGGCGAACCCGTTGATGGCGTCGGTAACATCGCCGACTTGTTCTTCGGACAGCGGGACCGTCTCTCCACTGGCATTAATAATCGTGTCGCACATTTTCAATATAATCTCCGACGCACCTTTGCAGAACGCGCGAACATTGCCATCCGGAGGAGCGACAAGCACGGACATCTTTTTCTTCTCGGAATTGAACGGTTCGACTTTCAAAATCTTGCATGTCTTGCGCTGCTCGTTGTAATCGCCGCCTAAAAGCAGTCCGTATTCGAGTATTGCAGTTTCTGTCGGTGTACCAAGGATCGATAGCTTTCCATCTTTGTTCTTGACTACCTCGGAACCGGTATTGTTGAAGATCGCCTGCAATAGAACGGATGATACATGCTCCGATACGTCGTCATCCAACGTATCCTTTCCTTTACTCGAATCGACTCGCTTGGCTTTACCGCAAGCCCATATTTTCTCGACCACCATGTGGTTCGTCGTCAACGTCCCCGTTTTATCCGTGCAAATGCAAGTCGCCGAACCCATCGTTTCGCAGGCGGAAAGATGCCTAACAAGTGCCTTGTCTTTCATCAGTTTTTTCATCGCAAACGCGAGACTTAGAGTCACGGCAAGAGGCAATCCTTCCGGAACTGCGACGACGATTATCGTCACCGCAGTTGCAAAGTAATCCAAAAGCAGCAAAGCATCATCCGACGACCATTTCGTAAACTCGTGTCGAAGTCCCTTTTCGACCAAGAATCTGATGAGCAAGACCAGGAATGTCAAGATAGCAAACAACAGCCCAATTTTACCGATAATCGTTGCGACGCCGTTTAGCTTAACCTGCAGCGGAGTCTCGTCTTCGCCCCCTTCGCTTAACGTCTCCATCAGCTTTCCCCATTCGGTTCTCATGCCAACAGTCGTCACCAACATCTTAGCCGACCCGTCCTGAACTTTCGTCCCGGCTAATAAAAACGGCCTTTTGTCATATATGTTTATCGGCACACTTTCTCCGGTTAAACTCGACTGATCGATCAACAAGTTATACCCTGATATAAATATTCCATCCGTCGGGACTTGATCGCCAATTGATAGATGGACAATGTCTCCAACGACCAAATCATATATCGAGATTTTCTGTCGCATTCCATCTCTAATTACCTGGACTGAAATTTTTTTCTTCTCCTTATCCAGCTCTCGGAACTGCAACGACTGCTTATAATCACTCGTTGCAGTAACCATGACCACCAGAAATATGCTGAGTATTATTCCCAACCCGTCGAACATACCCTCCGGAAACCCTTCAGTAGGAAGCCCGACTGCGATAGATACGACCGCGCAAAAGGTAAGTATGATAAGAGTCAGATCCTGAAAAGCCTCCCACACGAACCTCCAAAAGCTTTTAGGAGGTTTCTCCGTGTAACGATTGGCGCCGTATATGTTTTGTCTCGTAGTGATTTCATTCGAATTCACGCCTTTATCTAGCGAAACGTTCAGTTTCTCGGCAAGTCCATCAACGCCTTTAAGTTTTCTTAAGGTCTTGATATCATATGAAGAAACAATCGATGCAAGTTTGTCCGGATGAATTCTAAGCCCGGCACGTTTAGCTTCTTCTTCAAGACCATTTTGAACGTCCATTCCTGTGTCTTCTTCCGAATGTTCATTTGAGTCTGGGAATTTCTTCCCCAATCCACCTACTACAAGTGACACACAATTAAGATACTCGACAACTGAAAACAATATTGCTCACAGTAACTAAGATATATGAAAATGAGTGGATCCATACCGTCAAGAAACCTGAGAGCAGCTGTATAAGCCACGAAACAGACACGAATGCTTTCCTGGTTATAGATCAGTAAAATAAGTTGTATTAGATGGGTCCTTGTAAACAAATAAAGCAAATGAGTCGGAAAAAAAATACAATATACAAATCGAAATATGTAACTGGAGCCAAAATAATTTGAGAGCATTCAAGAAAGAACTGCATCCCTATCTGACTATGAAACGAAACTGAATATAGGCAAACCAAACATCATCTTCTCAGTACAATTTCCCACTGAAATACTAAGTTAAATGTAATAATTCCGTAGCAGTCTGGATTGCAGATATATAACCTAGTATAGTGTTAGAAGATGAATTATTTCGACCAATTGGATCAGAGTATATATTCATCACAATAGCACAATGATCAAAGGATCTTCGGTGGCATGTGCTCAAGTGTACCGTGAAGTCAACTAAGTTAGCAATGAAGATATAAAAACTACATATTGAAAACAGTTGCCAATATTCAGTTCAGTAGTTTCTTGCTAGGTATCAAACTTTATTTATCGTTACATTATCAAGGAAGGACCTGTGATCCTCGATGCAAAGTTATTTCATTTCCCTTCAATTTTGATTAACAATCGCATGGGAACTTAAAGCTGCTTGAATGCATGTATGTAGTTATTGTGCAAGCAAAAACACCGATTGAGAATGATTTTATCACCCAAAATATAGTCATGCAGCTAATAGAATCGAACGTGTTCTTGATTTTCAGACAGGAACCGGAAAACTGAAGAGTGAGATAGCATAATTAACAAGTATAAACCATAATTATTCCCTCCCCAGGCTTATCAAATATTGCTCCATAAACTGGTCATGAATTCACATTTAAACAAGTGTTATTCAAATATGTAGTTGAGCTTTAATAAGTGCATTTTGACCATCTATTTTTGAAAAAGTCCTCATAAACACTAAATCAACAAGATGATTTGACTTGACAGAGAAGTCAAATTCATAAAGTAGATATGTCACATAAAGTTTTGTATTTCTTGTCTCTAACCCTTAACCCGAATTTGATCATTGAGACTAAATGAGTTCACAAATTTTGAGCCTCTTCTCCAAAGAGGAAGGAAGCCCAAAAACCCATGACCGGCCACAAATATTTTTTCCAAACATAAGAATTCAAGCAGTAACTATCATTACGAAATTTAGACAGCGACTTCCATGGCTGTACCACAAACCCATTATTTCATTAGCAGTGGTGCATACGCAAAGTAAAGACTATAACCACAAAGGAGAACCAAAGGAAAAAGCAACAAAGACTTCATCTAGATGAAGGAAAACGAAAGAAGAACTAAAACTTTTTTCATTAAAATATGATATATATATACACACACACACACATCATATTCAAGAATATGAAACAGATGATTAAAAATTCTCAGATTGGGAAGGATATTCAAGGGAAAGTAGGTGTATTCATCAAATATTCCTACATGACACCTAGATATCGTGTCGCTTGATTTGAGAGAAATGCAAGCATGTTTAATTAAGACACATTCAAGTTTCGCTCAATTCGCCACGGGTGTTTTGTTGCACTGCATTCCATGACACACCCGAGTTTCGATACCACCATGCGTGTGTTCATATCGACACTCCATATTTCTCCGAAATCAAGCAGCATGTCAGACAACTGAATATTATATCAAACAACTTAACTAAAATGTCAGCTTTTTAGTCGATCGTCAGACTTTTGGGATTAAAATAGATATTTATAAATGTTAATGGATCATTTGTACTGGATATTTTATAATTCCGCTAAAAGCATTACTATACTGTTTTCCTCAAAGTTCTATCATAACAAATTAACCCAAAACTTACATAAAAGTAAAATAAAATAATATCAATATGTAAAATTACTTCATTAATTATTCTATGCATCCTTTTCTTTCATTCATTAAATTCCCATGCAGAATATATTTTCTCATCCGTTCTTTTCATAAAGATCTATCTAAACTCCCAAACTAAGAATAGGGCTAATCATTCAACATAATAAAGTGATAAGCTCAATCAAGGCACACATTTCCAGTTTAGTTTTATCACATGATTGCGCAGCATGATGTCCTTCCTGATTTAAGTAATGTCAACATCACATGGAAGTTTCATGGAAATTTCCTGACCTTATTTTTTCAAGCTACATGTCAAAAACTATTGATAATTGCAACCTACCAAGAATATGATAAAAATATTCAATTCTTGATTGCATCTGATTTTTATGTGACCCACAAAACAATAAAAATTATATAAACGACCCAGTACCAGCTTACCACATAACTGCAGGCCAAAATATTCTAAATTGTAAAAAACCTTAATAAAAGGAATATCCTTAAAATATAAAGTAACAACAGTGGTTAATAGTGAAAACCAAAAGGGCGGCAATATATTCTTCCAACTTCCCAAGGAATGAATTGTTTCAATGTCAACTTATTCGATAAAAAGTGGAAAGACAAAAGGCAAATAAAAGTACCAAGAAAGCTAAAAATCAGTGTTGATTAATAATAATATATAAAAATGCTAATATAAGCAATGAAAGCATGTCTAAAAATCATTATAACTGCTAATCTTTGGCCATTACAATGATCAATGCATAAATTTTGAAGTGGGGTTACAGTACATAATTGCTGGCAACTAATAATAGAAAATTTCAAAACAAACAGTCAAACAGGGCACATGTTGCAGTTCCCAAACTTTCTCGACCGAGTGAACCCAAATAATTTTTTTTTTTTTTTAACTCTATTAACTGTCATGACAAAGACCCATCTCAAGAAAGAAGCAGATTGTGGTAAAAAACCAAAAACAACACCTGGAAAACTTAAGAAAATTTTATAGTAATTATCGACAGTAATATAGACTTGTTTATATGATGTGTTTCTCGAGAATGCAACCAAAAGGACCACTTCATAGCAAATAATAAATTTTCAGGACAACAAAGAAAGAAACAAACAGGAATCCATCAAACTGACGCACATACACATAATGCCCATCACCCTGTTAGATCTATAACTACATATTTTCAATTCCACACGTTGGTTGGTCCATCTCCCTCCACACAATTCAGTTGGCCGGTGGTAATGAAATTAACATCCCGGGCACTGCATTGAATGCATTATCCCTTTCCATGGGTTAAAGCTATTCAACTTCACAGCTCAACCATCCAAAAAACTAAACCAATGTGTATTCTTTAAAGTTCAAGAATTAACTTACACAACGCCGCCACCATCATGGCCGCCCTCAAGGTTAATACCTCATAAACAACAGAGTCATGGTGGTTGGGAGGTGATAAAGAATGGAGGATATCTGATTTTGAAAAAGGGTTGAACAAAAACCCAAATTCGAACCATCTTTTTACAAGTCTTCCAGACCATCACATAAAAGCGCCATAAAGCAGCCACAAAGAGATTTTAAGAAACTTAAAAAGAACATTAATTCCACCGTTGAAATTTCTGTTACATTTCGAAATTGAAAAAACACTTTCAATGGGGAAAGCATATTAAAAGAAATTCGTCATAAAGAGACAATAACCCCCACCCCACCCCCCTTTGCACGTTGAGAGTTAAACCATTTAGGGAGAAGACGAAGCAACACAGTATGAACTATGAACTGCAAAATCTTTGTTTCTTTTGACATACGTAAAGAAACCCTTTGAATGGTCGTTTATTCAAAAATGGACACCGAAATGGTTGAAACAATGAGGGAAAAGCCAGACGGTTTTGTTCTTTCTATATTTAGATTGTTACGTTTTCGTGTTCAAATGAACAGATCTTTTGAAAGAAATCCATATCCACCATAGAAACTGCAGACCTAAATAAACCTTTTTCATATTCACCACTAACCTACGGATAAATCTCTTTTAAGGCATCTTTTCGATTGGACCAAAAAGACGAAGAGAAAATCCTAATCTGCTCTATGAACTCAGCACAATTAAGCCAAAGAATGTATACAATTCGGATCCTCACTAGGATTTGTTCAGTAATTGCTACGAAATTATCAGAACATTTGCAAAATTCTGTAAAAATCTTTGTAACTTCTTAGCAAAAGAAATTTGTGCAATAGAAGGACAACAATCGAACTGATTTGGGGATTCACGAAAGAGGTAGAGAAATTTTGCAGGAGAATCCACAGAGAAAGGCATAAACAGAATAAACGCAATAAAATAAAATAAAATAAAATGTAAAAAATAAATCAGAATCATTCAGAGCGACTTCCATGGTTTAATTTCGCAGAAAATTGAGAAGAAGGAAGAACGGAAGGAAGGAAGGTGAACGTACTCTGAGCCTTCGCATCTGCTCTTTGGCTTCGGAACGCTTCTCGAGATCGGCGGCGTAGCGAAACCTCCTCTGACGATTCTTCACCAGTTTTCCGACGGCTTCTCTCCACCTCCTAATTGCCTCCTCCGACCGCCCCTTGGGCGGCAAATCGAACTCCGCCGGAATGAACTTCTCCATGTTTTTTTTTAATATCTTTAACTACCACTAGACTAAAAAGTAGAAAGCACCTCTACGACAGCGGAAACGGTACATCGACGGCGGAAAGAGAGGTTACAGCCACCGGCAATGGCTAATTTGAGGTGGCGGACGGACAGCGAGGCTCCCTCTCTATAAACCAGCGAGGAGGAGGGAGAAAGACTCATAATTATTTATTTATTTATTTATTTGCTTATTTTATTTATATAATTTGGGAAAGCAAAATATTCAAATTATATAAATATAAAAAATATATGGAAATGAAAGGTGTTTTTGTTTGGAGGTCTGAATTTTGAGTTAAGATTTGAATAGTAAAAAATTTGAATTTGAACAGTTGTATGATGTGATATAAATAGGGATTGATGTGATGTTTTGAATGTAAAATTGATTTTTAGGGTGCGTTTGGCAATTAGCTGATAGCTTTTATCTGTTAGCTGATTCAATTAGCTGGTTGATGTAGCTGATTCAATTAGCGGTTTGTATTAAAATGTTTGGTAAAATAAATGTTTGATATTAGTTGTTTATACATAAAATGACTATTAAGGACATTGATATATTATTTTTTAAAATATTTAATTTTGTTCATTTGATTTGAAATTTATGAGAATTTTTATTATTAATTATTAAAAATTATAAAAATATTATAAAATATTTATTTTTATTTTTATTTTTATTATTTAGATCCGAGAAAATTAATTTTACTAAAAAATAATAATTTTTTATTGAAATTATGTAAAATATAAAATAATAAATCTTTCGTATATATATTTTAATTATGTTAATTATTATTTTAATATATATAAATAAATTAATAATCTTTGTTTTTTATATTTGATTTAGTTTTTAAATTATATATTTTACAAATAAAATAATTTATATCTAATAATTAATAATAGTAATTATTTAAAATTTACAAAAGAATAAAAATATAATTAAATAAATTAAATATATTAAAAATAATTAATAAATACTGTTATAAAAATATATTTATATGTAAAAAATAAATAATTAATTTTTAAAAGTAAATAATGAATAACCAAAATTAAAATGAAAAAACTCTTTCAAAATGTTGAGTAGATGAGCTTTTTAAAAATTAGCTTTTAGGTCCAAAAAACTCTTTCAAAAAGCTAATTTATCAAACACCTAAATTAGCGTTTTGACTGGTCAGCTAAAAGCTGTTCAATAAACTAAAAGTTCTTCAAAACGTTGTTTCCCAAACACCCGAAATTTTGGATGTTTTTGGAGGAAAATTTTTGAATGAACAGTGGGATTTTGTTAAAATCCTACAAATCGAACACACCCGAAATATATGGTGTGATATTAAAAATAATTAATTAAGTGATTAATTAACACTCCTTCCATTAATGAAATTTATGATCTTAATATTAAAATATATTTATATTTGTATAAATTTTTATTTAACTGTTATTATATTTGTATTATATGATATTAATAAATATATTTTTATTATTTTTTTATATTTTAATATAAAAATTAATATTTAAAAGTTAATAATAAAAGAACAGATATTTTCTCTTTGTCTCATTGAAAGGTTACCATTTTTTCTAATTTAATAAGTGTATTACATATCTAATAAAATAAATATCCTTTTAATTTACAATATATTACACAAATGTCATTATTTTTATATTACACCATACTAATAGGGGTATTTTTATCTTTTTCACTACAATCTAATATAATACTAATATTCAAAAATTTACGTGTAAAAAGCAAATATGATCCTTCCAATTGGATGGACGGAATATCAAATGTGTAAATGGACGGAGGAGTATTATGTTTTTATTAAAAATGAATTGAATAATATCAATAATTACTTTTTTGAAATATAATATATCGAGGATTTGTTTCTTTTGTTTTTAAACCATTTTTTACTATTTAAAATATATATTTTTGAAAAAAAATAAAAATATTTTAATATCAAATTTAATTTTTTTTTAAAAGATTCATAAAAAGAAAATGTGATGTTTATGATTTATATATATAGTATGTATGTGTAAAGAAGAAGTCAATAAATTTAAATAAAATGTAGTAAATTATATAATACTCTATCGTGTTTTTAATAAAAATGTACAAAATACTTATATTTTATTTATTGTATGAGACCACTTATGTTAATATAAGGTTTTCAAAAGTTCTAAATAAATACATAAATTATACAATTTTTATACAAATAAAAAACTAAAAATATTTTATATAATTTAATTGAATAAAATAAATAAATAATTGATTAACTTTTCATTTTATAGTTTTTTTGAGATAAATTGTTATCTGATTTATATAAAAACTATGATTGATCAATTATTTATTTATTTATTTTATTAAAAAATATTTAAAATATTTTTTATTTGTATAAAATTTATGTAGGCCTCTTATTTAGAATCAAACATTAATTTTAGACAAAAAAAAGATGTTTGGCGCAAACTTGATATTAATACAATAGCATTTCAAACAATAAATAAAATATGGATATTTAGTGGAGTGTTACTAAAACACAAAGGAATTTTATACTTGTTCCGTCTTATAACAAAGTATCTATTTTTCTATTTTAGTCTGCCTCGTAACAAAATATTCATTTTTTTTTAGTAATTGTATTGTGTATCTAACCTTACAAATATCCTTACAACTTACAATATATTACACAAATGTCATTACCTTTATATCACACATACTAATAACGTTATTTTAGTTATTTCTACTTTATTTATACTACATTCCAATATAATATTAATATTTTTAAAACTACGTACAAAAAACAAATGAATAATTAATTATAAAACGGAAGAAGTATAATTTACCCAATAAAATATTATATTGATTTTTTTTAGTTCAAAAAATATATTTAAATTTGAAAATGTCAAAAAGTTAGTCATACTTTCCCTCAAATCACATTAATTTTTTTTATAGATCAATAATTCAGTTTTCCAATTATGATTTAATTAATACTTTCATTATTTAATAGGGTGAGTTTAGCTTGTTTATTATATTTATGTTATTATTATTATTATTATTATTATTATTATTATTTTTCAGTTGTTTATAAATATATATATATATTAAATATTTAGTAGTAATTCAAAATTGTATTATTATTAACACAATACAATTATACAAATATGAAGACTTCAGGCATTCGTCTAGGAGTGTGTTTGTTTGGAAATTTTGATTTTAAATTGAAGTATTGAATAATTATTTTGATTTAATAATAAATATTAATGTAATATTTTCAATATAAATAAAATATGTTTATCTAATTTGATTTAAAAATCACTTGTTTATAATAAAATTACTTTTAAACTTCTCAACCAAACATACTATTGAAGCAAATAAAATTAACAAAGAAATTAAAATAGTGTATTCAATTAGGACTTTAATGGATTTGTTTGGAAATCTATGAATTTATATGGATTTTAGTAATTAATTTAGATGGATTTCTACAAATTTTATTGAATTCTTTATGAATTTATATGGATTTTGTAAGATTGTAAAATAATTTTTTTATTGATATAAATTAATTATATAAATTTATATCAAATACAAAATTTATAAATATAATATATCATTATTAATAAATAATATATAATTATTAATAATGCAGAAGTATTGTAACGTCTATAACGCTATTATATTGTAGATTATTAATTTTAATTTTATAAATTTAGTATTATATTATTATTCGATATATCAAATTAATTTTATATTTATTTATTAGTTATTATTATTATTATTATTATTTATATAATTTGTTTACATAAAAAATAAATACCTATATAAATAAAATAAAAAATATAATTTATAATTTTTGAAAAAAATATTAAAATAAATAAATATAAATTAACGGTTCAATAAAAAATATATATTTAAATATCTATTTCATCATCATCGGAATGATAATATAGTATATTCGATAATTGAAAAATGAGAATTACACCGGAATGACAATATATATTATATTCGATAATTGAAAAGAAAAGACGACAGTAATATATATTTATTGTGATAATAAGATTTTTTTTAAATTATATTTATAATATAAAAATATATATTTAAAAAAATATAATAATTTGCTCATATATTTTAATTTTAAATTATTATTTTTATTAAAAATTATAATATTATTAATAAATATTATCACATATACAACAACAATAACAACAACAACAACAACAACAACAACAACAATAATAATAATAATAATAATAATAATAATAATAATAATATTAAGAATCCATCAAAATCTCTGATCAACAAAATTTTTATAATTTTCCATTAAAATTCATAAATTTTGAAAATTTATGAATTGTTGAATATTTTAAGATTTTAAAAGACATTTACAAGTCTGTATTGAATATATTTAGATTTTAAAAGACTTGATTAAATACACCCAAATTTTGAAAGTCCAACAAAATCTTACATAGTTTAGATTAAATACACTCCCTAGTTTTGTTATTATTCAATTATCCGATTTATATAAAAAAATATTTTTTTATACTCCCTTCGTCCCATAACAAAATATTTATTTTTTAAAACTACGTGCAAAAAGCAAATGGATATCTAGCTATGGGACGGAGGGAGGAAGTATAAAATATTGTATCGAAACCAAACACATAGCATAGATGAGTAGTAATTTGTTCTTCTTGTATTTTTATAAATTCAATTTTTTATTTCTTCTAGAAAAATATGAAATTAAGTACTTTCTCCGTCCGAATACAATAGTCTTATTTACCATATTTGTTCGTCCCAAAACAATAGTTTCATTTCCATAAATAATCATATCACCGTAAAACTATCTCTATTTTTTCATTATTATTATTACACAATTGCTACTACTTTTTACGTTAATATACTCACAAGGGCGAAAAAGGCCATTTATCCTTACTTTTTACCCACTACTAATATAATATCAATATTTCTTAAATCTCGTACCCAACACAATATGACTATACTTTTGGGACGGAGGGAGTATCTATTTTAATACAAAAATTTATATTAAATAATTATTTTTACCTTTAAATATCAATCTTATGGGACGAAATGACCAATAATGATATACAACTTGTGTGAGCATTCTGTATAATTTATTTTGTGGAACTAAATAAATATTTTACTTAAACATAATATATATATATATATTAATTATAATAT